CGGGTTGTCTGAAGAGCAAAGGCTCACAACATCATCCCTAACATTTTGGTGACAGCGGTGTAAGTAGTTCACATTGTTTGAGTTTCTCTATCGATTCGAACTACCCCGAATATAATAATAATAAAAATAAAAAATAATAATAATAATAATAAAATCAAAGAGTAAATAAATAAATATCAAAAATGGCCAATAACGCATTTAGTGAAAAAGATTTATTAGGATATATCGATGCATTTGACGGGAAAGATGTCTCAAAATTAGACACATTTATTAATCAAGTGAATATTGCCTTAAACTTGTTAGCAGAAGATAGAAGAAGTAATTTCATCGATATAATAATTGGTTTTAAAATCACAGGCGACGCATTAGAAAGAGTCAGAACCTTCGAGTTTGATACATGGGACGAATTAGTATTAAAATTGACTCAAAATTTTAAACAAGTGACAAAATCAATTCCTACACTAATAAACGAAATATCAAACTGCAAACAACGTAGTAATGAAAATATTGACGCGTATGCAAGCAGAATAAAATCCCTAAGAACTCAATTTCTGAGAATTGCCGAAAGAGGTGATCAAACAATAGAAACGATTTGTGTAAATGGGTTTAAAAGAGGGCTATTAAATTTTAAAATTCAAAACGCATTGCTGGGTTGCGAAGCTAATGATTTAAGTAGTGTCATCGAAAGAGCAGTGAACATTGAAAGCGAGATTGGTCTTACACAAGGTGGAAGAATTAATTATTTTAATAAATTAAATTGTAATATTTGTGGGAGAAATAATCATAGTACAAACCAATGCAGGTTTCAGAGAAATCACATAAAATGCGAAATTTGTAATAGAAATAACCACCAAACCCATCAATGTAGGTTTAATAGAAACCATCAAAGTTTTACACAAAGTATTAATTATGGACAAGGGCCAGGTAACCAAGATAATTATGGAAATAGACAAAATACGTTTAGACCCCATAACAACTTCAGTCAAAGTAACAACAATAATTATCAGAGAAATTATCAAACCGTCGGACAAAACAATAATCAGGGAAGTAATCAAAGGAATCTCCAAAATACATCAAACAACAGAATAAATCGCTTGACAAATCCGGGAAACGAGAGCTCTCCAACTGTGCAGGTCAGTTCGGAGAACAACCAATAAACCCTGTATTAAAAGGCAGTACACAGATTGAGGGTGATAGTATTTTAAATGATAATATTGGGAACATAGGAGTTAATAATTGTCAAAAGGATAAAGAACAACATGTCGTATTAAGAATTAATGACTTGAATGAAATAATTTATGTAAAAACAAATCGAGAACAAGTAGATAAGGAACATATAAAGTTGATAGTCGATACGGCGGCTCAATTAAGCTTGATTAAAGAAAATCAAATAGTTGACAAACAAAATATAACGCAAGAAGAGCAAACTAATATTGTAGGAGTAGCAAATGTTCAAATAAAAACACTGGGTTCGTATTGTTTAACACCAAAGATAGATTCCACGAATTTTTCATTTAAGTTCCAAGTTGTTCCAGACGAAATTAATATTCCCTTTGATGGAATTATTGGAAGGGATATTATCTCACAATACAATGGTGTAATATCATACCAAGACCAAACATTTAAATTAAATGATTACATATTTAAATTACATACAGTCGATGCTTCTAATTTGATTTGCGTGCCACCTAGATGTGAAATAATAACTAAAATTAAGTGTATTTCTCAAGATCAAACAATTTATTGCCCCAAATTCAGATTTAATGAGGAAGTAATAACCAGTGAATGTTTGACAAATATAAAAAACAATGAATTTAAAATTGCAATCATAAACTTATCAGAAAAGGAATATATGATAGAAAATCCATCTATTGAATTTGAACCAGTAAATATTGACGAAACGGAAACAAATTTAAATATTTTTAATTATAGCGAGGTAAACGTGTTACAAAGAGTTGAGCAGATAAAGAATTCTATTGATGTTTCCAAACTAAATTCAGAAGAAATCGAATCTATTTATAAATCAATCATAGAATATGAAGATATAGTACATTTGCCAGGTGACAAGCTCAGTCACACGGACGCAACGAATCACAGAATAACAACAAGTGATAACGCACCAATATTTGTGAAACCCTACAGACTGCCACATACGCAAAAGCAAATTATAAATAACAAAATTACCGAAATGCTCAATGACGATATTATAGAACACAGTCAATCGCCATATAATGCGCCACTACTACTAATACCAAAGAAGTCCAATAAAACAGGAGAAATTCAATACAGAGTAGTGATAGACTTTAGAAAGCTTAACGATAAAACAACAACAGATGTTTATCCATTACCGAATATTACAGACATTTTGGATCAATTGGGACGTTCAAAATATTTTACGACTCTAGATTTACCAAGCGGATATCATCAAGTACCTTTGCACGTAGATGATAGAGAAAAGACAGCGTTCAGTACCGACTCAGGACATTTTCAGTACAAAAGAATGCCACAAGGACTTAAGAACTCGAGTGCAACATTTCAAAGATTAATGAACTCAATACTATCAGGTTTAATTGGAATAAAGTGTTTCGTTTATGTAGATGATATTGTTGTATATGCAAATACACTGGTAGATCATGAAAAGAAAATTATAGAAGTGCTACAAAGATTTAGAGAAAGTAAATTAAAGATTAACATAGAAAAATGTAAATTCTTGCAGAAGGAATGTGTATTTTTAGGTCATGTTATTACGGAAAATGGCATTAAGCCGGATCCAAATAAAATAAAAGCGGTGATAAACTTTAAAACACCACAAACGCCTAAAGACGTAAAATCATTCCTTGGTCTTGTAGGATATTATAGGAAGTTTATTAACAATTTTTCAAAAATAGCGTATCCCTTGAACTCACTGTTAAAAAAGAATGTCAAATTTGTTTGGACCCCTGAATGTGAAATAGGATTTAACGAATTAAAACAGGCAGTAACTACAGAGCCAATCTTAATCTATCCACAATTCGATAAACCATTTATTATAACATGTGACGCGAGCAAAAAAGGGCTAGGAGTAATATTATCACAAGGCGAAATTGGAAGTGATAAACCGATAGCATTTGCAAGTAGATCACTAAATACGGCTGAAATAAATTACTCTACTACTGAAAGAGAGATGAAGGCAATTTTATTCGGAATCAATCATTTTAGGCCATACATATATGGAACCAAATTTACAATTGTGACTGATCATAAGCCTCTATCACAAGTATTCAGAGTAAAGGATCCAGGAGCCAGACTCTTAAAATACCGATTAAGGTTAGCCGAATATGACTGCACGATAGTTTACAAAGAAGGTAAAGCAAACACCAATGCAGATGCACTAAGCAGAATTTATGCAACTCAAACCAGAGAAATAGACGGTTACCTAGAATTTGAAAATTATACGAAATACAAAATCATAACTAATCCAAACATAATTGAGCAAGCACTTATAACAGAAAATGAATTAGATAGAAATGCAAACGTTATTTTTATACCTAGGAAACCGAACATTAACAGCAACGAATTACAAATTTTAGACAGAAAATTCAACTTATTTTTTGAAATCGAACAAAAGAATCCCAGTTTAAATGACATACTTGTTTTGAATAATATAAGCAGTAAATATAAAACAAACTAATATGCCTTATATACAAGGAATACGAAGTTGACACCGACGATTACGAAGAACTATGGATAGTATTAAACAAATTGGTAAACGTTTTACAAGAAATGAATTTAAAAGAAATAAACTTAATGACAATAAAGAATAATAGAAATTTCAAATGGGAAAAAATTAGACCAGTTCTTAGATACTTAATCAAAAATGTGAAAGTAGTAAATTATGACACGATAATTGAAGAATCCGACAGTATTACCGAAGAACAGAAATTAGAATTAATACATGAGTATCATGATTCACCCACTGGAGGACACCAAGGTGCAAGTAGAACCTATAAACGCATGAAGCAAAAATACAGTTGGAAAAACATGAAAGAAGATATCCAAAAATATATCAAGAAATGTGATAGTTGCCAAAGAAACAAAATAACTACAAAGCCGATCAAGATGCCGTTAGTAATCACCAGTACATCTTCGCAGCCATTCGAAAAGATTTATTTGGATATTGTAGGACCATTAACATGTAGTCAATCAGGAAATAAATACATTTTAACGGCACAAGACGATCTAACAAAGTATTCAATAGCAATGACTATACCCGACCAGGAAGCAAAGACAATTGCAAAGCAACTAGTAAACAATATAATATGTAAATATGGAATTCCAGATTTTGTTTTAACCGATCAAGGTACTAACTTTTGAGCAAATTATTTAAAGAATTATGCAAACTTTTGAACATACATAAATTACAAACAACGGCATACCACCCGCAGACAAATGGAGCATTAGAGAGATCACATCGAACATTAGCGGAGTATTTAAGACATTTCCGTACAAAAAATCAAACAGATTGGGACGAATTTGTGCAAACAGCCATGTTTACGTATAATACCACCCCACACACAGCAACGGGACACACACCATTTAACTTACTATTTGGTTATGAAGCTAAATTGCCTTCGGCTATAACGAGGAAACCCCAACCTCTTTATAATTATGATGATTATGTCCTAAATTTGCGTTCAAAAATGCAAGAAATTAGAGAATTTGCAAAATCAAACATAGGAAAATCTAAAATTAAAGCCAAACAGAATTATGACAGACATAGTAACGTCAAAGTATTTTGTGTCGGAGACCAGGTACTTATGAAAACTGAGGCAATAAAACAAGGTTTATGTAGAAAGTTACATCCATTGTGGAATGGGCCGTACACCATTGTGACAAAACATTCTGATGTAAACTACACGATCCGAGTTGGAAAAAGGACACAAAAAGTGCATGCAAATAGACTGAAAATGTATAGAATCTAGAAAAAACAATTAGTATATATCAAACTAATAATAAAAATAATAGTAATAATAATAATAATAATAATAATATAAGATCCTTTAGACTATATATGAGATAACTATATAAGATAAATCAAAGGTTGCAGATTAACAATTTTAATAATAACGGTTCTGGAATTCATTACCATCAGCGCATAGATGACACTAAACAACAATATTTAAACATTAATGCTGAAGATCTAGCAATGTGCATAGAAACAACCAAATTTCACAGAATTTGCAGACAATCAAATCCCATTCTATTTACACACAATCATAATAATTGTGAAATCGCATTATTTAATAAGAACGATGATAAAATTCCCGATAATTGTGACAAAAGGCTTATAGAAGTAGAAGAAAGTATCTTTATTCAACTAACAAATAAAAATGCTTGGCTATTTTTAATACCGAAACAAGAACCTTAACTTTAACTTGCACACATAAAAATCCAATAGATATTAAATTAAGAAATTCGGGTATAGTTACGATTGATGAGAAATGTAAAGCATACGGTGGGCTATTTATTTTGAATACAAGGCAAGACATCGATGGAGGATCACTACCCGAGACTTTTGTACCAACATTCGATATTACTGACGAGATCCGAGCATCAACCATCACATCGAGGACCTCAACGTACAATCTCACAAGCTGGAGGAATTAGACAAAATATTAAACCAGAAGAAGCCTTCGAAATTTGAACATCCATGGTCCATCAGTGGCTACACAATAGTTGCTATAATGTTAATCTTTACGATTTTCAAAATCATTCGAAAGATAAAGCAAAGGAGAAGAAGGAGAACAATTAGAGCAGACGACCTTTGGTGCCAGGTACGCATATCTTCGGACAACATGGAAATGATCCACACGTCACCCCCAACAGAAGATAACGGAGCATTCGTGATAACTACAAATACAAAAGCGAATAGTGCAGTGTCGATCGGACAGAATTTTTAAAATGAACAAGAATGTGAATAGGAAGTGAAACTAGAAACAATAATAAGAATAGAAGTTTAATGGATTAACTTAGAACCATAGCGCTTAAGATTAAATTAAGTTTCGTAAAAAAAAAATATATATATATATATATATATATATATATACATTTTTTTTTTCCGGGGAGGATGGAGTGATGTTATGAGCGTATCATTTATGGTTTATTTATGTTTATTGCACATTACTTGGATTTTTGAGTTAGAAATATTGTGTATTTAGTTTTAGTTTTATATTCTATTACCATTTATTATTTTATTGAAATTTCCCGGCCGAAGGGTACGGTTTGTACAGACCTACCGCACATTAGCATAAACATTATAAGGGTCAATGACCCGAGCGGCTACCCTTGGTCCTTCTTTCTAGTGTATTTTACGATAAGTTTAGTTTAAGATTATTAGTGCTAAAATTATTTAGTCTTAGCTCAACCTCGGTGGAGTTCGGTCAGCCTTATGAGCCAGAAGTAGAGTTTGTAATTCGCCTCTTGGTCAATATTTTGTAAATAAAGACTTAGTAGAATCTTTGGCTCAGTTCTTCTTTCCGAAAGAAATAATAAGTTAGAAGAATCGGGTTGTCTGAAGAGCAAAGGCTCACAACATCATCCCTAACACGCGAATCATTAATTTATCCGCGAATCATAATATTTCAACGTAATTAATATTAACGTCTTAATCTGAAGACTTTTTGAAAATCCGAAATAAAAAAATCCGCGATTTGCTTTTATTTAATTTGAATTTGAACTGATTGTAGTATTACCGTATTGCCGCAAACATTGCACCGCGTTTTATTAAAGTTTCAATTAAGTGTTATCGCGAACACTTTTAAATATTACATTCGAGTAAAATCAACCGGTCAACACACACACACACACACACACTATAAACACTCACATTACACTTTTGCTCGGTTCGTTTCGGCGAATGCGGAGTTCCTGGGTATTTGGTGTGTCTAGGCACACCCTTTACCTTACATTCTCAACACAACACTACACGTTCTGTTCACGCAGAACAACACAAATTAACACAAATTAATTCAATGCATCGCGCGCGGCATTTTGAAGCAGAGATTTGCTCTCTGCTTGCAATATAAGTATGAATGGCATGCCTGTTGAATGTTTATATTTTTGGTATGATTGTATTGCACTGTATTGTATTTCATTTCATTTGTGTATGTCGTGTTAAATTTTGGGCAACCAAAAGCCGGCTGCTGCCGCTGGGATGTGGCAGTCGGTCACTATTGTTTTCGTTGCAAAACCGTTTTGCATCCCGAGCACAGATCGCCAAACGCGTCGGTGTTAGGCGGGTATTTTTTTATTATAATCGGTCTGTGCTCACAAAGCTATCTCATGTACTTAGGTAGGGACCAAAGGCAGGTCTTATTAAATTAGTTTTAAGTCTCCTACTCCTCTTAGATGTGTGAATGATGAATTGTTTTTAGATATTTGTGTACTAATCTTTTTCCGCTTTCAGGATAATCGCGATTTAGCTATTGGTTGACATTAGGCAGGGTTTTAGGTCCTTCCTTATCCTTATTAATGTCTTTTTCTTACAGCAATTTGTGTATTTTTTATATGTTTTATTGATATTTGTTTGATGATTTATTATGTATTTGTATTGTGAGTGTGAATGAGTTCCAAAAATCCAAAAAATCCTTACTAATGAATTATGATTTTGTTTCAGTAACTAATTAAATATTTCTTCTATGTTTTCAGGGCGTTTTGTTTGAATTGATAATTAATCTTTTAATATATGTTACAGGGTCCTGGATGCTATCCAATCGTTGATGTGTTTTAGAGTTGTTTTATGTTTTATTCTTGAATTTTACTAATCACAAAATTGTTCTGCTTGTTTGTTTGTACAGATTAATGGAAATCCTAATGAATTATCAGAAACTACGAAAAAATAAATAATAAAAATTGCAAGAGTCAAGGTTGCCAAAGAAACGACATTCGAACTTCAAAAAAGATATTACAAGAAACATTGGAATTGGAATCAAATACTGATAACAACTTCATGTACAGAGCAGTGCAGTGTAGTGAGAAGTGTATTATTAATAGTGCGCGACTGTTGCAATATAGTGCCGGAGTGTCGTGAAATATTTAACAATTCCTTTACAGATCAACCGTTTTTAAGACATGAAGAAACCAAGATAGATGAGATTTTTCTCCAGGATGTACCAAGATAAGAGTACTTTTGTGGGCCCACTAATTCAAAACGACAATGGAGTTTACAAGCCGATGATAAATCCGAAATTATCAATTACAACGGAAGAATTCAAAATAGAAATAGCGAGAATTAAGATTGCCAAAGACGACATTAAAACCTCAAAAAAGATACTACATAAAACATTGGAATTGGAAATTGGAAAACATGTAGAATTGGAATAGAATGTTGATATCAATTTTATGTGCAGTGCTGTGCAGTGAGAAGTGTATTATTAATAGTGCGCCAGCGTGTCTATATAGTGCGGGAAAATGAAATAATTCTTAATAATTCCTTTACAGATCAACAGCATGTTTTAACTGCACGAAAGTCAATAATCATAGTCATGTTGCACGTTCTTATGTCTCGTTTTTGAATGCGAAACAAGAAGATCCTTCCATCCTGAGGGCAAAGAAGATCCTTCCATCCTGAGGCCATGGAGAGATGAGGCGTTGTACTAAAATAAGGCACATTTCAAAGAGTTTCAGGTGAATAACATTACCATAATTTTTTTGATAGAATAATATTTATTCTAATATTTTCCATGTTAACAGAAGAAGAAGAAGAAGAAGAAGAAGATCCATCCATCCACGCCGAGGTCAGTCCTGAAGGGTATGCACCAGATTCAGCCTTCTTTCCGACCGGAAGAACTCTTGAGGGTCAGGGTCCGATGTGTACACCCATCAAGGAATGGGCTGCTGCCCTTGGGGGTATGTAAAGTTGGAAAGAAATTGTGGTGAGTATTATTTCAATCATTTTGTTATTACTAAACAATTAAACAATTATTAATGTTATTAATGTTAACCTAAACCTAGCTAAAGAAGAGGTCAATGATGTGCAGTTCCATCCACGCCGAGGTAGATCATGAAGGATGACCTAATGTGATGTATCCAGTTTTCCAGCGAGAAAAAGCCTTTTGGGGTCAGGGTCCGATGTGTACACCCATCAAGGAATGGGCTGCTGCCCTTAAGGGTTTGCACAACCGCAAAAATGCTGTGGTGAGTATTATTATCATCAAAATCAACTCAAAATATTATTTAAATTTTTAACAAGTTAACAAAACACTTATATAATTATTTATTTTAATTTTAGAAAGTAATATTTCAATTGAAAATGTTTACAAAGTACTAACACTAACTAATACTAATTAATTTTCTTAATTTTGTTATATATAGAAGCTGGACTACATAATTTTTTCCCAACGCCGAGGTTTCATCTAAAGGGGGGTGGGGGTATCAATATACACACAAATCCGAAATATTGGACACCGGGTTAAGTCCACCGCGAGCCCCACATCACCTTTAGAAGTAGATGCTTGGATGTTGTATACCCATCTAGGAATGGGCAGATACTTCTGTCGGTGGTGAGGGGCACATCAACAACACACACTACTCTTGGAGGTGATGACAGATGCACCCATCTGGAACCTCTTAGAGAACTCGGGCGTCTTGTTAATTCATTATAATTTTGCTAATTCGTTATAATGGACAACCGTGTCCATCCGCGTTAGAATCACGCGAACGACAAAGTACACATCAACACACACTTTCATAACACTCATTACTTTACACTAACACTTAATGATGAGGTGGAGTCAACAGAAACATTTATTGTGATGATTTGTTTAATTGGCTTAGTATTTCTTTTAGTTTTTCGTAATTTTATGAAGAAACATCATGAAATGAAGAAGATTCGGAAGAAATATAATGAAAGATGTCACATTCAAGTAAAAAGAAAGTAATTGACAAATATTGAAGTAAGAGATCTTTATATTTTGTGTTTTGTGTCGTTTTGGGTTGGTGTTTCATATGTTTATGAACAGTTCGTAGTGTAGTGTAGTAGTAGAAAGCACGTAGTCGTAGTAGTAGTAGTATGTAGTATTAGTTGTAGTTATAGACTAGTAGTAGAGTAGTGGACTGTGAAATGAACATTTGAAATTCTAACAAATTCTACACAATTTACAAACAGTTAAAAAAGCTTCGGAATAGAAAGATTCCAATGGAAAATGTCAAGCAAATCGTTAATCAAAGAAAGAGGATTCCAAGCAACTTGGCGGTTACATAGTTTAAGATTTTCTTTCTCATTAAACAATGTTTTGATTTCATAATATTTTAATTTATTGTTCAATAATCAAAATATTAGTCAATCTAACAAGTGCACTTCAAACATATCTTTTGTCAATTTGTTAAGTACACGAAAACATTTCTAGAAATTATTAAATTATTATTCCCTTCATACACTAAATAAGAATGTATTAATTTTTCTTGGAATTTTTTTTTGTATTAAACTTTTGTTCACAGATTTAAATTTGTTATTTACCACAACCACCTCCTGAGCAAGCTGATTTCTTTTTAGGTTTGAATGTGCTTCCTGATGAATCGCCCATAAGTGGATTATATTCTAAAAACATTATTTAGGATAAGAACATCACATAATACATAAACTTTCAATTAATATTTACCTGATTTTCCTAGTTTACTTCCACCTCCTTTACCATCATGTCTTGCAAGATATTCCTCACGCTTTTTAGCTTCTTTCTACAAGATATCAATGGAAATTTAAATAAATTTTTAATTCAATGGGAAGTATATTATAAAAAAATAATTGTAGAATATGTACTAACTTCTTTTTGTTTCAGGACATATCGTTCGGCGTCGATGTTGTACTGTTCTTGTACTTTCTTCAGTGCTTCTTCCCTGGCAACTCTTAGACTTGACAATTTATCAGTTTCTGCAGAAAAATGATGGACAATCAGTGAACATACTCAATATTAATACATTATTCAACACAAAAAGGTAAATTATATAAACTTACTTTTGTAGACATTCTGCTCATACTCATATCTATCTCTTTTCTTTTCATATTCTTCGAGATATGGACTTATTCTGCTGTAGATATAGGCAACAACTATTGATGCAATGACCAGGTACCATCCGTAATTCTCAAAGAAAAAAACAACTACAAAAAAGATAAGTGATAAGTACAGGTGCTTACTACGTGATTTATTACTAATTTATTTATTTGTTTTCGTTTAGTAGCAAAAGTTGCTACTTACTATAATTCAATGGATTCTGTGAGACTTCTTCCTCTTCAGCTATGATTTCTTCGTACTCCGCTGACATTTTGAATATTACTACGTGAGATTATGTTTCTATAACTTGCAAAAATGCTGTTTCATTTGTATAATTTAACTAAACTTCATCAATATTTATATTCTTCGTAGGTAGTTGTCAACTTGGTTTGTTTTCGTCATGATGTGGCTTTATCCAAGTGGGAGAAAATTATCCAGGGAATTTATTTTCTTTAGAGTGGCAATCATTATTTGAAAATTTGAAATTCAAAGCAAGAAAAACTACAAAAAAGACAATAAAAACACTTTTACGGTAATTAAATATATACAATATTATATAGAGTAAATATATACATGTTTAATTCTATAAAAATGAATTAAATCATAATTCAATTGATGACTCAAAGCAGAAACTAGGGGAATATATTTTTAGTCACGTTAAGTTGTCGCACTTGCAAAATTCGAATACAAAAATCGTAACGCAATAAACAATAAACAAATCAAAGTCTATGCTTTTCTTCGTAGTGGTCAGTAACAAACAATCAAAGAAATGTTGCAATATGCTCATAAAAACAATACATTTAAATAACCATGGCGTAATAATTGTGTGTGCAAATCTATAAATTTCATAATGATAACATGCAACACGTACATCGGTGAGTTTTTATAACTATTATGCATTGTTTTTGATTTGAATATTATTAGTTTACAATTATTAACCTAATTCTAAAAGAAAAAGGTATAGAAAACAAGAAAAACAAGCAAAAACGCATGAATGTTGTGTAAACATCGAATTAAACACAAGTTATAATTTCTATTATTGATTATTTGTCAGTTTATCTACCAACTTGACTTGATGCCTTAATTATAAGGTAAATTATACCGGTGTCGAATTATGTTGTCATTATGTTACATTGACAGTATCTTATCAGTAAAATTTTAATACTAAGTAAACATAAACAACTTTTTAATGGTTGGTTGTCATGGTAACATGCGCACAAACAAAATCAACAAGTAAAAAAATAAAAATTTTAAAAAGATACACTTTACTATGTCTTCGATCAAAAGAATAGTATAAAAGTAATCGCAGAGAGAGGTTGAATAAAATTGCGGAAACAGGAAGACGTTAACATTCGCAACATTCTACATTCGTAACATTTACAACCCTAACAAAGTCGAATTTATTGTTACAAGTGGGACGACTCGTGTAATTTGTGCAAGTCTACATTGCACTATTAATGCAATTACAATGTGGAAAATGTTGCATAGTACAAAGCGAAAAATCGATACAACCAACAAACGACTCAACGTCACGCCGCGTTAATGACTAAAAATAAACACCACCACGACGTGCAATTACAACAAGACCGTTGCCTTAGAAAAAATATATAATAGACTTAGTAGTAAAGAGTTTAAAGTTAATTACTGTAATAGTCGAAGATTAGAGGTTAGGGTGTAGGAAATGCGTGAAGTCAATTTCATCGATAATTTGATTGCGATTATCTTAAAAACTAAAAGTGATAGAGAGGAACGGATTGAATATTATTAATCTGCAGGAAATTTTCTATGAGATAAGATAATAAAATCTGGAAAATTCAAGAGTTTAGGGGTTTAATAATTAATTTTATTAAAATAAACACAAATGAGAGCGAATTTAATCGTAAATAATATTAATCTTGAAAGAAAATGTTATAAAATAGCAAAAGACAAAAAATTTCAATTTTTTCTTGTCAAAAACTTAAAAAATCAATAAAAAACACCAAACAACAAGTTTTATTGCTCAAAAGCATTAGAAAAGTGTGTCTTAAGTAACTTATGTTGTACACATTGCACACTGCACTTTGATGGTGATGGCCATGAAGAGCTAACCGCGTTTAACTTGATAATGGTAACTAACGGTGGTGCTGTTTGTACGAGTAAAATGGCGGCAGAGAAACTTGGCGCGCGTAATGCCATGATAGAGGAATTGTAAAAGCGCGAGAATGCGGCCGATTGCGGCCGACCTAGTCTTCCGCACAAGTCGAGACATCGAGAGAAAGATCCAGTAGAGATCCAACATTGTGATATTGGTAACTGTGCTTCTTTCTTCGATATTTCAATCAATCTACAAACAAAATTAAAGAATAACAATTTATTTGGAGTCACAGCTAAAGTTAGAAAGTAAAACATGAAACAAGTTTATAGATTCACCTTTAAATCAATCAAAATCAATTTAATAATAAAACATAAAAAGATTTCGACACATTTTATCATTACTAAAATAAAATAAAATTAAAAATAATTAAAAGCATAACCATGTTATTTAACACAAAAATATATTTCAAAAATTAAAGCCCCGTGAGTATTACATATATAATATGTAATTATGTATCAACTAATAACACATACGAGTGTGTATCTTATTGAGTTTACTCGTACTTCATGCCATGATGATTTTATGACTGCGCATCCAACAAGCCAACAATACTAATAATTATTCATTACACTTTGAGTTCGCTACTCGCGATAATGCCTATAATGCCTATAATATCGTAAAACTTTATAAAAGTGCGAATTGAAAAAAAAACACCAGCAACAACGCGAGTGTGTTGAGTTCATGCACGGTGCACAGAGATTACGCCGCGAGAACCGCGGAGAGAGACTCTACTACCGTGTGGGGCTGAGAGACCGGCTGCCATTTCGAATTTCTAACGAACCCGTCAGTCGCGTTCCGTGCTCCGACGCGTTGTAACCAACGATGCACAATCGATATTACACGATTTCGTCAATAAAAGCAATAATAACTCAAACAAAAGTTAAATTTGCTTAATTTATTACATATTATTCAATTCCTATGGTAACACATTGAATAAAAATCAAAATAACAAACACAAAAAGAATCAACAAGTGTATTAACAAAAAGTGTTTAAAAGAGTGAAAAGTGAAATTTTACTAAAATAAAAATATAGAATAAATAATTAATAACTCCTGTGTTGTTGAAGACAACGAAATTCTTCTTCATCTCTGAAGAAGCCCACCTTGAGGGGAACTTGCCTACTCGCCGGGTTGTGTTTGTGTTGGTGTGAGAAGAGGTACCGTTGCGTGACCGCGCGCGTGTGAATGACTCTTCGCCGTCGAGATGGACGCCGCCGCCGACGAGGAGCGCGCATGGCGCTCGCCGCCGGCGATGAGCGCCGTCATCGACGGCCTCAACCTTTTTGACTTCGACGAACGCTGCCGCCAGCTGCGCTCGCGTAATAATGGTGATATTGATGATGATAACGATGACTTTGGCGGTGGTAACTCCTGGTTGCCTGCGTATGGCTTCCAACCACCGCAAACTCTCTTGGACAAGGATGATTTTATTAATAATCCCGGTAATTATCCGTAATTTTTGATGTTTACAACGATTTGAGGTGCTTAATAGGGCCACAATTGGTTATCGCATTACCGGAATTTTATCACCATTGTTTTATTGTTTCTCGGTGATTATTGAACGCGCTGGCGACTGACGACACATGAATCATCATGGATTAATATTTATTTCTAGTCATACGTTGAATGAATACGTGAATTTAAATTATTAAGGTAATGCGCATGCGTGTGCACGTGGTTCTTTTAATTTCAATATTTTGACATTTTATTATTTTCTAATTTGAATACGTAATCCATGTTTATAAGATGTATTTATTAAATTGTTTTGTGATTTATATGGATTTTACAATTTTGTATGAGTTTTACATGTTTCGCCCTGTGGGCATCGTCAGAAACTTTTTTGAAACGATTTTGACAGTAAATATTAAACTTTTATCAATATAGATAAGATTTTTTTTTAATCAAGGTTAAAACTTTAAAATTTTTGATATTTACTCGTTATTTTATTAAAAACGATTTTTTTGAGGAAATTTTAAAAAATTATTATCACTAGAATGTGTATATAGAGGTATTCTAAAGGTATGTTCAGTTTTATGTCGGTTGCGGTGTACGCTTCGCTGGTCACAATGTGTAATTAGTTACAAGTTACGATCACGATCGCGATCGCCGCCGCAACGCGCTGCTGGACAACACAAACGCGCAGCACAGCGCACAAAGAATAGTAAAACTAAAACTAAACATGATTTGTGGTTGGAATCAGTTGCAGTCAAAGCAAATTCACACTGGAATGTGTCTCTTTTATTTAATAAACATTTTAGACTTTCATTGCGCCCACATTGTCAAATTAAATACAAATATTTGGAAAAAAATTAAAATTTACGTTTTTATAGTTTTTCTTTAATTTTAAGATTAATTTATTTATGTATGCACAATGAGGTCAATGTGCTTGTTCTGCTTTTCGATCCGCGTCGTGTTTTTGTCATCTGAGAGCCTTATTTTTATGCTAAATGGTTTAAATTTAAATTATAGCAAGACGACACCGGAATAGATCAGCGCAAAGATTAAATGTTGATAAATAAGGTGAAACAAGAGTAGTAAAATTGTTTTTTGTGGATGTAGGAAAATAATCTGCGCTGTTTTCGAGTGTAAAATTTATTTGTGTGAGTTTTCTCATCAGAATGCGGTGTATTTGTTGTTTCTTCTAGTAATTTGTTTATTTTATGTGTTTTGTTAACAAATTCCGCGCTTGTTGTTCGCCGATTTGTTGTAGATTTGCAACGGAATGTGAATTTTGTGAAATATCATTGTTTTACTTTATTTTATTGCTCACATGCGTAAAAACACTCGAAAATAGTTAAAAGTCTTTTATTTGCTGTTTTACAACAGAAAGTTTTTTAAATTCAGAGTAAAAGTTTACATTCACACGATTTTTCGATGAAAATTTCTTCTCTAATCTAAATTTTCTTCTTTTTTAAAGTAAGAGATGCTTATTCTGATTCTGCAGTACAGTACGAGTACTTAAATAGCCATAGCATAGCCATGCTTATAATTTCATCCTTTTGATTTATTTCCATGTGTCTGTTTTCTTTGTGTGTAAATCAGTTCAAGTGCCAAACGCAGAATAATTTTAGCTCTTTGCTATCTCGATGACCGATGCATGATGCATCTTGCAGCTTTCAAAGCTTTAAACTCTAAGCATGTTTTATTTTTTACTTGATCGAGTAATTTATTTGTAAAGATGAAATATTTTGAGTGACGCCTGTCGCGTGGGCTTAAAAGGTGAATGCACCTGCAGGCATGCAATTGAAGCACTTGCAAACACATTGCACAGTCGTCTATTGTGGAGTAGTCATGCTAGACGTCATAGTAAACTAGTCACGTTGTCATATACTCAAGTATTTTTCAAGTTTTACTGAAATCGACGTTTTTTAGACATAAAATCGTTAAAAATAAGTTTTAGACGTTTTTGCAGTTATACCCCCTCCATTTTTTGCGGGTTGCGCGTAGAATTCACAGCGTTCTTCTTTACTTTCACTTTGGGTAGCTCCCAAACAGGTCCCTAGTAACATACAGATAAATAAATATGTATTATACGTAGGTAGGGACTTTCTATCAACATATAAATAAATAATTCAAATCCAAGCGACGCGACACTAAAATAAAGAAAATTTTCGACCTTACACACAACTCAACATAGTCAACACTTTCTATAAATATAAATCTCGAGTTAAACACTGATTTACATATTTAAATGAAACAAAGCTGTAATTAGACTACGTATTATACACTAGCATTACTTCATGCATCGACTGGTGATAATAAGCATAATAAGATTAATCCCCACACATACACGATTTGCATTTGCAATAAATTCCAAATTCATAACATAATGCGCATGCGCATGACTCAGGTAGTAATCTATATGTTTGCGTGTGTGTAGCATTTAACATTGGACCGATTGGAATGTCCAGACGTCCTTTGCGCGTTTGCACGCTTGCCACGACAATGAGTTTTTCGAGTTAGAGTGAAGTTTACAATTTACAACTGAAAGTTTTGTTTTCGCATTCGTCCACACGTGCACAATAATTACGCATTGTGCTTGGTTGCAAACTAGTTTCGCGTTGGATCCGGCGCCGTCGACTGCCACCAAAAGCCGAACGCGTATTAAACTAGTATGGTGTGTTTGTGGTGTGGTTTGAGTTAAGTTAAGTTGTTATTAATAAGCAAAACAAAGTTGGTGGCGATTTAGTATCAAACTATCGATGTGAGACGCGAGACGCAAGTTTTTAAACAATTTTCGCGTGAAAAATTGACTTAAAGTATACTTAAGTGTATTTGTTTCATTTAATATCAAAAAGTGAAGTGAATTAGTCACATTTTAATTATTATCTCATGATTGAGATGTTAACAACTTAATTAGAGTGTTTTTTGTGGTGTAACTTCAAAATTTACAAATTTATTCATTTTTTAAAAGTCGGAAGTGACTTAAGTCACTTAAACCATCATCATTACTAGATAGAAGACTAATCAACCAAACATTCCAATGGTTTATAAAGTATAAATATATTCACGTGTGAATATAAAGTTAAAGCTTATATTTAGTTGGTTTAAGTCAAGTCGAGGTCGTTTAATTGACATTGATTTCCGCATTCGCATATACACACTAGTCATAAACTTTTTATTTATTCAACAGCACACGTAATACTATCATAAAATAAAATAAAACAAAACAATAACAATGTTTAATTCAACTTGACTTAACTTTAAGTTAAAAACTTAAAATTTATTAAAGTTTATTTTAATATTACAATAATTATTGCACCACAGTCCGTGATGTGATTTGCTCATCGAGTACATATTCAGTTATTCAGTTTTGCGTTTGCGAGTCTCACCGAGTAACCTTTCAACTTTTTTCTTGCGCTTAAAAATTGCTTGTGATTCGGAATGTGGCTGATGGAGATGGAATGATGCCAGCGATTGTCACGACTGTACGCATGCGCTTTCAACATGCCCAAGAGTCGCAAAGCGCAGAAACACATTCAGAAGCTTACAGAATACACAGGTAATAGCAATACATTCACAAACGCAGATTATTTCGGTTTTTGGAGGTAATTTTATGTAGCGAACAATTGCAGTGGTTAAGATTTAAGCAATTGCGTTTTTTCTCACATTATCATGTGACATAATGGGAGTATACATGAATAAGTATAAAGTTTCATTGTTTAAGTGTTAAAATGTTCAGTAAAATGTTACTTTTAAAATTTTACTAAAATAGATTTAGTTAATTTATTGCCCGTAATTTCTTTGAATTTTTAAGAAATTAAGTTTTTTAATGAATTTTATCAATTTATTTATGATTGGTAATTATTATTAGATAGATTTGTTACTAATTCGTGTAACAGATGTTTAACTTTTTCTTTCACCTCGTGTTTTAATAATTTTTCTGTGAAACTTTCTGATTTTTATTATTTTTTCGAGTTTTTCCTATAAAAATTAATCTTAATTAATAAAATTATATTTATAGCTTCAGTTAAATCACTTCAATTAACTTTAACTTTAAGTTAAGTGGAATTAACTTGACATTTGGTAGTTGGTGAGAATAGACACATATTCTAATGAATATAATCTTTATATTGTGTATTCTGTATTGTTTTGCTAACAACCATCTTCAGCGTTTGAGAATTTCTCAGAATTTGGCATATATTCGAAAGCACGCACGAATTCATTTTCGTTAATTGGGTTACCTAGATCTCACCATTCTGCAGTACAATGTTTGCAACCAATTGCACACCAAACCTTAAAATTTCATTAAAAAAATTAAAAAAATGAATTTTTACCACAAAAATAAAAAAATAAAATAAATGGCATATAATAAAATAAACATTACAATATTATACACATTCTAAACTATTTTTAAATATTTTTCTATTGAAATACGAGAAAAAATAGAAATGTAAGTCTAATTATCCTGATAGACGAGATTAAATTGCAAACTAATATCCGTTCGGATGTTATTATCGCTTATTGACCCACTGCGTTTACGCAAATCGATATTCACAAAGAATAAGCGCTAATCTCTAATCTCTAATGCAATTGAACATCATACAGTTATTAAGTATTTATTTATGCGACCGTTTGCGTCGATCTACTTACCGCTGACGTTTGAGAAAACCACTGAAAGAAAAATAGATAACTTATGAGTTTATTTATGTGGATTGCAAGCTGTTGCAACAGGTGGATACTCCACTTTTGAAATCTATATCGCATTCAACTTTCAAAGAGACATTAAATTCCTAAAATGTCTTTGACAGATGTTTAGATTTAATTAACAATGAAATTTACATCTGTGTTCAACAGTGAACTAAAATCCCTACTAATATTATAAATGCGAAAGCCCTGATGTTTGTTACACTTTCCCGCAAAAACTACTTAACCGATCATCATGAAAATTTGTACACATATTCTTAGTGGTCCCCGAATGGTCATAGGCTACTTTTTATTTAATAAAAAAATTTATTTTTTAAATAAAATAAAGAAATAGTTTAGCCAATAATACCTCTGCATCTGGCTATTTGACTACTTTAACGCCATCTAGCATTCCAGCAATGAAGCTCAAACCTAAGTACTATAGTACCATCACACTGTATTATCACACTGTATTACCGACAGCTACGTCAACATCAAATCCAATTGACTACACTATGGAGACTGTACACTATTCTTCCATAGACTATTCTTTCAGCCATTTTAAACTTCCCGCCATTCTACTTCATTGTTACTTCTTCTGTGACTACAGACGCGTACAGAAGCAACTTCAATATTTTAGATATTCGCGAGTAAAGCCGCGGGTTAAAGCTAGTTAAAATTAAATAAAAGACAAAGTAAGGTTAGGTGTGTAATGCAATTTGTTTTTGTTTTGCGCGTTCCACGCTTTGCATTTACAGTTACAGCAATAATGCGAGATGAAAAACACAACTTAATCGGATTTGAATGCAATAAACTAATCAAAGCGTGTTTGTCATAAAAAAATTAATTGCACAGCTATCATAAAATTATTTCTTACTTTCTGTACTCGTAGAGATTAAAATACGAGAAATAATGAAAAGGTTATTTAATTTTTTATGAGTACAAGTAAATCTATAAAAATATATATAATTTAATTTGAACGTGCGACCGCAAGGAATAATTTTCTCATTGTTATATTCTCAATGCGCGTACAGCTATTACTCAGCATCTGACTATGATTAAATGATTATATATTCTCGAGCCGGAGAGTGCATAATGTGAACGTTGAACATGTTGAATGTGATTAAACTGTTAGACGCTCTACGTTTCATTTAATTTGTATTTTTATTGACTGCACGTTTTCATCTCTTACTTTTTATTTTTATTTTTATTTTGTTTATCTTTAGATTTAAGGAAGAGATTTTTTTTTTATTGCGTGCGCCGTTACTTTTCTTACTTCTGACTTAAGTTAAGTCAAGAGTTAAGACCAAGTGAGCCAAATCAACTGCTGACACAGTTTTTATTTCGTTTTTTTTTATTCATTGAATCACATTCAGTTCAGTTTACTTCATGGGAATTGAATTGAGTGGGCATTGTTTCCAGCGTGCAATATTTATACATTTAATTTGGCAATAACCTAGATATTTTAATTTGGTTGATTATAGACGGAAAGATAACGAAATATTCGACCAGGATTTAATTTGTGGTATCTTTAGATCAATGCCAAAGAACACGAGCGTTATTTTGTTCTATTACTGTCTGGGTTATTAATACTCCTTGCAGAATTATTAATAAGTGCTGCACAAACTGATTATGCAACTTATAATACATAGAATGCGTATAACTGGATGCGTCTTGTTTAACACTTGAACAACACAACATCCCTACTAATATTATAAATGCGAAAGTCCTGATGTTTGTTACACTTTCACGCAAAAACTGCTTAACCGATCATCATGAAAATTTGTACACATATTCTTAGTGGTCCCCGAATGGTTATATGCTACTTTTTATTTAATAAAAAAATTATTTTTTAAATAAAATAAAGAAGTTGTTTAGCCAATAATACCTCTGCATCTGGCTATTTGACTACTTTAACGCCATCTAGCATTCCAGCAATGAAGCTCAAACCTAAGTACTATAGTACCATTACACTGTATTATCACACTGTATTACCGACAGCTACGTCAACATCAAATCCAATTGACTACACTATGGAGACTGTACACTATACTTCCATAGACTATACTTTCAGCCATTTTAAACTTCCCGCCATTCTACTTCATTGTTACTTCTTCTGTGACTACAGACGCGTACGGAAGCAACTTCATTATTTTAGATATTCGCGAGCGAAGCCGCGGGTTAAAGCTAGTTACCACATATTTCAATTGTAAAATAATCTTTATAAACCTACACAGGTATTAAAATGTTTGTTTCATATCAGTATAATATACATATATCAGTACAATGCTGACGAAGTAGTCATGGCAGTTGAAACAATAAAAAAATTAAATTCCGATCGTGCTTTTGTTTATAGAGTTGTTATACACTTTCACTAAGTATAAATATAAGTAGACTATAGTAGGCATAAAATACTACGAGTATATATTGAGTTGCATTGAATTGAGTTTTAAATTTTTAAAAAACTTTTTTAAGCCGTTCAAGGAAGTGTAAACGTGTACGATTGCTACTTGATGGGTAATTAAAGGAAGTGAGATAAGCAATCGGTGAATCGGCACAAACGCCACCATTGTCTGTTTGTGATAAATGTACGAGTATGAATGATATAATCGTATAACACAATACAATGCGAACATCTCTGGCTGACCGAGCGAGTGATTTTCTTCGCGTGCGATATTCTATCGTAACTGTATTCACAACGGAATTTTAAACAAAAAAAAATAGAAAAAAACGTTTTTAAAAGAAATTACGCGTTATTTCTATAAATTAATTAATTTTAAGGTGTGTCTCATTGGTAAACATAAATTTATTTGTTTAATTTGTTTATAAATCAAATATTTATAGATAAACACAGATAATATTTATCTAATATTTACATTTAGACTATATCCGTATTTGATTAGTTGCTTTTATCGCAATGAATATGTGAAGAGGTCAATTTGATTAAACTCATTCAGGATACACGACTTAAGTCACTTATGTTATGTACACTTGATTCTATTCGTACTAAGTATGAATGAATGGAAATTGTCAGTGGTCATAACAAAATGAGTAAATATTATTACTCAGCGTGTTTAAACCGAAACTTCGTTAAATATGCACAATATATTTGATGTGACTAACATAATACGTGAATAATGCTTGAAATAGGTGAGAAAAATGAAAGTTTTAAATTAAAAATTTGATAAATTTAATTAAAACGTAATTTTATCATCGAAAATTTATGTTTTTTTTTCTTTGTACTTGTACTATACTTAGTACTTTCTTTGCTTGTGAAATTAAAGCGTGTTGAGTTATGGAAGCGCGCAATCAGACCGTGAATCGCTTTTACTTTATCTACTTATACCGATGTTAATTTATTGCTTTATTCCCAATGGTACTTTTATCGATAATATCGAGTTGTACGAAATTAATTACGTTTTGCATTAAAATTATTCAATTATTTCACAAAGCAGCAAATTATACACAACAGTGCGGAATTATTTCATGCACTATACTTTCCAATAATAAAATTACCTAATTATAGATTTTTACGTTTAATGGGTCAGTATATAATAAAATTTATAGTTTAGATTTTGATTTGTTTTATACCTGTTCACCAAGCCCATCCCAGGCGTGGAAAAGCACGGAAAGCATAAAATGCGCAAAGCGCATACTTGAGCATCGTGAGAGGCTCGTCGGGCTCGCCTCTCTCAAGCTCGATCACCTTGACTTTCCTTCTTGTAGCTCAAGAAACAGACTTACATTGCGAGTCAACCAAACAAAATATAAAATACAAGTTTAAAACTCAAACTGCGCATGCGTGAATTTAAATTTAAATCAAAATTAAATTAAACTAATTTAGCGTTTTTTGTTTTTTATTTGTTTTCAGCTGATGCAGAGTTGTTTCTACAAAATGGCGGTAATCATTACACATATCTGGAGACCATTCAGGAGGAAACTTCCGATGATCTACAATCGGATAGTGACTTTTCAGACTCTCGAGCTTCCCCAGCCGGATGGCTGGCGACCGACTCCGAATCCGGTTCTGTTATACGCATCCAAACTATAGGTAATAATATGACGCAAATAAATTGTTTTGAAAAGTTTACCGTACACAACATTATTAGACAGTTTGTTCATTAGTGCACGTCGGCACGCCATAAACAAATATTCGGAAGAGTTCAAACTGTTAAACTTAATTTCTACACCGTAACGATTGTTATATTGGCTAAAATTATGTTAAAATCATTAAATAACAGTTTTAACGTCTTGCAACAACTATAAAATTTAAAACAACTAAATTTTTATTTGAAAATAAATTTTAAGCTTACTATAGGCAACTGAATACTCATGAAGTGTATGTTTGGTTGCCTATAGTGCAACTCCACGAGTAAGAATAATTCGCGTTTCAAACAGTTGCAAACGCGTTTGGAATGTTTTAACTTGCACAGAACGTACTCGTAGGCTGAATTTGCATTTTATGATCTAAAGATATTTCATAATATGCGTTTGGAAATGTTTTGATATGAGACATTTGCATGCGGCGCGAGGTCGAGCGGAAAGTATGCAAATATGCGAACAATGCAAGCAGTTATTACGGCTAGAAATAGAATTTTATAACACACCACGTAATTTCGTTGCAAAAAATTTCAAAATGCGGAAGATATTGACTATTTTCATAAATACACAACATAAATTACGTTGACATAGTCTTCATAATCAGATTAAACAGGATTTTAAACTTAATATGGCTTTACAACCCGAAAGCCATAAAGTTAAAATTGCAAATGGCGCCGCGTCGATTTACCACAGTCTAGACTTCGACCAATTACAAATAAAATATATAATATCTTATTGTTGTGTTATCAGATGATGCTGAATGTGAATCGGACCGTGAAGTCGCCTGCCCCGCCAAACGCCGCCGCCAAGAAGTCCTCCTCAGCGACGACGAGTCCTCAATCAGTCGCTCCTCCAGCCTGTTACAATTCGAAAGCCTCGAGAAACAATGCCAAGACATCTCTAGTAGTTCCCCAAGTATTTTCAGCAACTTTAGCTATGATTCCCTCGAAAGAAAAGGCGGACGAGGCAATGTTAGTCCCGATAGTTTAGAGCGTGGTGCACACAGTGATGATGATTCAGCCGAGTATTACAAAGCGTTAAAAATCGACTTGCTGCCGAAAAAGAAGCGCCAGAGTCATGATTCACTCCTGTACGACAACAGCGCTAATTGCAGCAGTGGCAGCGACAGTGCAGATAGTGAAGAGACACTTGAAGCAGCTCGTTACGACAGTAGTAAATCAGTCAACTTAAAAACATGGCGTAGTTTCGATGGGTTGCATAGCAATGGCGCTAAAACTGTGAAAATCTCTTCGGAGAACCTCAGCGAGGACAGCGGCTACAGTGATAACTTCTACAACTCAAAAATGAAGAGTTCCAGTATTCCTAACATGATGATCAATCATCATCAATCAACAACAAATAAAAACATTTATAAAACTCGTGTTGAGATTCGCTCCCAGGACGATGCGCTTGAGAAATACCGTCTGAAGATCGCAGATAGATTCGCGGCGTATGACGGCGATGTCTTCCAGACCTTCACGGGGAACTTTGGCGTGAGTTATCATGATTTAAGTAATGTTGATCAGTACGAGCATAGAAGTCCACTCATTGAGAGATTCATGCGTAATGGTAAACGTAGAAATATCACTACTGTTGTGGATGAAGCAGTCGGAGTAAATTTAGATCAGGTGACATGTGCGGAGACGGAATGTGGTAATTTTAGCCCGCTGGCGACGGCGACGAGCGTCCCGAATCTCACCGGCAGTGGCAACGCGGACGACGCGCCGTGCGTGGTCTCCAGCGTGCCGAAAGATCTCAATCTAGCGGGTGGGATAACATCCACAGTTAATTTTAATACCAGTGCATCAATTGCAACAATCAACTGTGACATATCAACGCTATCCAGTTTGGATTCGACTGATTCTGGACATTCGGAGGATTTCACCATGCCGAAACTATCGAGGTATCAACGTGCTGAATATGGAGATAAAATTACTATTAGATTAAAATATGATACGTCGAGTATAAGTTCAGCGAGTGACATGGAAGCGACTTCATCTTTTCGAAGAGAAGGTAGTTATCTGGAAGCTATGACTAATTCTATTGATATGAGTGATGAGGAGATAAAAAATAAAAAGTTGAAGGATAAAGGGATGACTATATATAAATTCGATCGTGAGAATGCTTTGAAAGCTATCTCAGAGACATCTATACAGAGTTTCGGAGTGAAAAGCATCGAACAACTTAATTTAGTTGCATCAACACCTATGAATAACATTAATAACAGGAATGTTATTAGTACACCGAATTTGGCTGACTTGGATTATCAATATCCGCCTAGGAAGAGTTCTTTGATCAACAGGAGTATAAGCACTAATGAAATTCAACAAAAAAACGATGAAAATGATAAAAATTTAGTGAAATCTTTAAGTAATAGCACAAAAGGCGTCCATTTCAGTCCGGTTATCTCTGAAGTAAACTGGAGGGATGATTCTGCTTCAATAACAACTGAACATGAAGATTCTAGTTGTAGTACAACTCCAGATCGTGATGTACAGGGTCCTGTTGTACCTCCAAGGAAATTATTCACAAGATCCCAACCGGAATTAACATTAAGACAACGTGTGTTGGTCAGTGATGATTCCACAGATGATAATGAAGGTATGAAACCTGCTGTAAGTGAAGAACTTGTCCGTCGTAGATATCAACATCATCAACTTCCACATGATGTTATTGCTAAGAGAAGGAGTGTGGAAGTTCCAATGCGGGAGAATACGAGTGAACACTGTGAAGCCCCCACTACACCGGCGCAACACGAGGAGAGGTACTCCAAAGTAAAACTCACTGGTTCAGTACAAGCGGTACCAGCGATGGAGCCGGTTGGTGTTGTTCAGCCGAAGAGCAACACGCGCGGCATCGGTGGATTTTTCTCTCGTATCGCCAGCTTCCGGTTTTCCACTCGTGCAGCTAAAAATCAAGATGAAAAGAAAAAACAACGTCAAACCACATCATTAAAAGAATCTGGAGTTAATAATAAACTACAATTTCAATCTACGACTGGACAACGTCTCGCTACGAAAGATGATTATATTTATATCCCACTCAAAGGACCGGAAGTGATTACCACTACTACGAATACTTCAACACCAGTAGTTGGATTAGGTGTACAAGAAAATGTAAAGTTTAGCAAAGTGCAAGTTGATGGCGTTGGCGTTGAAATAGTTGATAAGTTGAGCGCGAAACCGCCACTTCCGAAAATGCCGCCGCGCGTTGTCGGTGCATGCGTGAAGCGAACGGGTGGCGGCGCGCAGGTGCCGCGTGAACGGATCGATGTGGGTCGGGGGAGGCCCATGGAGCCGATGGGGTTGATCGAGACGGACCTCGACACTGAGGTGACGGTCATCACAAGCGGGCACGGCCATGCGAAGACGCGCAGTCTTATGAATCTCGGCCACGAGCCGCCGACGACAAACAACAACGCGGCGGCGGCTGCGGCTGCACCATTGCGTGCACCTAATAAACACCTGCAGCAGCATCGTCAGGGCAGGCCGCACAAGTCCATGGAGTTTCTGCTCGACAAGCAGAATCTCAAGGTTGTCGAGGTGAGTACCAAACATTTATAAACACCTATACACAATCAACTCATATGTATATGTATAACACACCCACGTAAAATCTTGCGCACTCGCGTTTCATACGCGTAAATCAACCCCATTGCGGAATCAGGAGTCGTGTTACTAACCTACTCTCGGTGAGTTGTGTCCTCGTCGCGTAAAACGTGAAAAATCACTCAAAAAATTGTTTTTTTCATTTTAAACCAAAAATAATTAAATTTTTGTTTATTTTAAAGCGTAATATAATACTTTGTGGAGTGCAACGCCTTGTTTTAGACTTTTACGCAGCGCACATCGATTGGATTTAATACTCGCCAGTGATAAATGATAAAAATGTGGGATTTCAATGTGAGTGTTAAAGTTTTTATCGTTTAAGTGTCAGCTGTTGAGTGTAATCGTAGTGTAATCATAAGGCACGAGTTATACGAGTTATACGAACCTTACCGGTCACCGGAAGAAGCGCCTTCCTCGTTTCCGCCTCGCGCGGACGCCCCAAACAGCCGGCGCGCCGGTTACGGTTATCTAACCGTGAGCCCCGTTGCGCGCACCGACCATAAGGTCTCCTTTTCAGAGGAAGTACAAAGTAGTCACATACAGAGTGTTTGTATGAGTAACGCGTTGTGTTTGTTGCAGTTTTGCTGTTTTTCAATTATCTAAACGCTGTGCGTGTCTGCACATAAATTATCTCGGCGGTATAAGCTGGGTTTTTACCACCCTCAGTTGGTGCCACCACGTGAGGTCGAATAACTTTTAGTTCTTCAACTGCAGCGAGGAAAAGTTCATAAATAACTCAAAAATGCAATCAGTTAGACAGTTTTTTCTTTTTTTATTCCTTTTAGGGAAAATTTAGGGATTTTTTAAAGGGAAAATTATATTTTTGTGAGTATTATATACAGAGTGAGCTAGGTATTTGTTAAATATTGCGTTAGTACGACCCTGATTGCTCCTAAAAGCATAAATTCGTAAATAACTCAAAAACTTAATAAATTATTCAACTTTTTCTTTTTTCATTTGATTCAATAATAATCTAGTCATTGTTAACCCCAAAAAATAAATTTTTATCATCATATTATACAGAATAATCAAGAAATTTGTAAAATATTTCCTTCCGCCGGCTCTGAGGACTTCCAAAGTCATTTTATTGACATCCGTTCAATAGAAATTGCATTCCCCACATTGGCGTGATGAATTTATGCCGTTTTGAAATGCGTACAATGCTTACGCTTCTTGCATTTCAACTTCAAGTTCTTCAATCGCCGCTTTCATTTGTAAATCAATCAAAGTTGTAAACTATCGCAGCGTAAACAGGGAAATTAACTCGGAATAAATTGAGTGAATAAGGTAATAAACTTATAAAATCTATACCTTTGGTCAGAGCTGGAATATTGATGAGTGTTTAAAGTTTATTACAAGTTCCGTGTTGTATCAATAAGTTATTAACTATCGAGGTCTACGTTCGATTGATTCACTTTTTCTGTCAAGGACTAGTTTTTCCTCTGTTTCTATTGCAGAGTAACATTTGTATCGATTTCCACTTTGAAATTACTACACAATCCTCAAAAGGCAATAGATATTGTTATTTATTAGGTTAAACCTTGTTTTTTAGGTTTTGAAAGTAGAAAATCAAAGATAAATCAATGATTTATAATGAAATTTAAAAGAAAATTTAATTAAAAGCTTGAAACATAAATTACAATTATTATTTAATGAAATCTTTCAAAATTTCGTTTGTAATTCTTTCCTAGAAATAAATCATCTTAATTCTTGATTATCTACGAAGTACATCTACAACTTTTACCTCTAGCCACGACGATTAGCTTTACTTAAGATTATTTTTAGTCTCTCCTTTCACGTACGTTATTTCTTTACTTCTGCAGTATTAACATTTACTTTACCTGCGTTTACTGCGCTTGCTCATACACCTCGTAAGTAATTTGATAGCTAGACGCATCATTATCATCAGCTAACGCAAACATCATCAACGAAACTTTTTACTTTTCCCATAACTACAAGTTGAAAGTCAGTTGCGTTATAAAAAGTTACTATATGCAACCAACACAGCATTTATATGCTTCTGCACGCGTAATAATAACCTTATAAATATTCAACGGTGTTCTCAATCTTTAAATGTAAGTACTCACTCTGTTATCGTCCGTGCAACTAAGCAACTGTTATGTACAACAAATAGAATCTTTGTTATGCGTGCCGTTGGCGACCATTTTGAGTATATGCATATGTATACGCAGAGATAGCTGAATTATACTTGCATGATGCAGGGATAACTGTAAATAATGAACGTACGCATCAATTTTACACCTACTGATCGATTTCATTCAGTTTAATCATCATGATATGCTAGAATATTCAAGAAATTAAAAAAATCAGGTTATTAGTTTCTAAAATCACCGCTAGGGTGCGTTTATGTGAGATAGTATCATGGCAACACTGTAAACACTCCACACGCGCAGTTTAGTTGTTGTGTTTGTTTCGTTCAGTTGTTTACTACGCCATTTTGAAATCATGACTGTGTTACTACTCAAAAGAATTACGGTAAGATAACAATCACCTTCAAATCTTTATTTAAATACGTTTATACATGGAATAAAAAAGCCCAACAGCTGTAAAGGCACACATGCCAATAGATAATTTGAATAATTGATGAGCGTATTTATTATGCAGTAGAGAATTGTATTTTCTGATGACAAAATCGTTACGCTTGGAAAACCTCTCCAGAATCTCATCAGCACTGCATAAAAGCATATTTTTAGACATAATTCACACAAAAACAAACAATACTCACTCATTCACAGAAGACACAGCAATAATCGCCTTTTGTGTCGTGATTTGTTCAATATCTATGTGTCTATACGTTGACAACGCTAACCTAACCTACGAATTCAAAACAAAACACAATTAATTTGTTTAAAAATTAAACATGAATTAAAACAATTACTTGAGATGTATCCAGGTGATTTTCCAAGGAAATAGCCACTAACCATGGTGGACGCGTTGATTTCGGATCCGGACCATCAATTTGCTTCAAAAATAAATTAAAACGAAACAAATTTTCTAGAAAAACTTACAATGTGTGACAGGGATGCTTGAATCAAATTCACTTGATTCTCAATCATTTTCACAGCGTGCAAATGCTCTGAACTCGTGATATTCCTTGATTTGTGACTTTTTATTCCCAATTGACGTGCGGCTATGTAATGCGCCATATGCACAAACACAAAACCCGTGCAGTAACTATCCCATCCCGCGTGGTGATATGAATTATTTTGTAGCACCATGTCGGTTTTTACCAGCGGCGTGTTGTAACTCATTGTTTTCCCGCGTCCATCCAGCCAGTATTCGTATAAATCCTCAAGTGTATTCCTCTTCCATTCTAGTTTCTTTGGAATTTTTCTAAGGACTTTAAAACTTAGGCATTTCGTGTCATATATCAGGGGAAAATCATTGTGTAGTTTACTTTTGAATTTTTTGTATGATATTGGAAGCTCGTCGAAAGTATTTAACAGTAATAACAAATCCATTAGAAGATTGTGTCCTACAATAGGTTTTTGATGAGACTAAAGCTTGATAAACACGAGAAAACCAAGAGCAGATCTTATTGTGTTTTCTTTGAGATTATCCTTGATATTTAACTCTTTAAATTTTTTGTCAGTCACTTTAGTGAGTATTAAATCATTTTCTTCACTTTTTTCAGTCCATAATCTTTTATTTTTGCTTACATCTTGATAATTATGTCTTAAATGATTCTGTAGATGATACCATGCATCAATATCATATTTTAATTTATGTTTTAATGATTCAATAATCAATTTATCATCATTTTCATTATCTGACATCCACCAGGTGTGAATATTCTTGTCAATATCATCTAAATACTTCTCAATGACACAATCAATAGGCCAATTTTCTTCTTTTAAATCATTTTGTACTTGGAAATGTTGTTTTCTATTCAGGAAGGGTATCCCATAGTAGATTAATTTATTATAGTCAAAATCATGTTGGCTTAGGAACTGGAAACTTGTCGCTTGGATCTGCATCAGTAAATTGATGCTCATTATTGGTTTAGGCCAAATATAAAACGTGAATGTTTTAGATTGATAGATATTAACACCAGGATCAAAAGAAAATGCAGATAAACCGATTTGGATAGGTATTGTGTGTTGAACAGTTCGATATAACTTCGCATAACGGTCTTCAGGAGTATCAAACAAACTAAAAACAAATAATTTCATAAATATAATTTTTAAGGTTATAAATGTGTTGTACCTGCGTTGATCGCTGTTTTGCAGATACAAAGCAGTGAATTCTGTGTCGATTGCAACAAATCGCGACTTATTTATCGCTGTGATTATCTCCGGCAGCTGCTGTTCGAAGTTATCACACAGTATTTCACTCATTTTAATCGGACTACAACTTGTACACATCAAAATATCAGAGGTTAGGTTTGAAACTCGTGTGGTAGCGCTTTTTGTTTTCGTTTATATTCATTAGCTTTAAGCGTTGAGAAAGCATTTTGAAGGTCGTAAATCTATTTAGAGATGGGATGACTTTGTTGTGACAGGTAGCTTAAGCATCTATTGTGTTTCGTGCACCACTGCAGCAGATAAACGGTTTTACTGCCTAGCACACAGAAAAAAAGCTTACCAACGCAAGAATTCATGGAATTTAGACGCACAAACAGATTTACTGCTTCAACGGAAAAATTATTGTACTTGTTGTGCACAAGTATTGATTTTGTTTTTAATTTATGAATATTTAATGTTTTTCAAGTGGAATTTATTTGAGGCGAAGAATTAATCGTAATCTAATAGTCGATAATGGCGCACTACGACAATTGGTAACAATTCCGTAATTGCATGTAATGTCAGCGGGCTAATTAACAGCATTGGCCCAATAAATGTCGTGCGATACGAGGGCCTTCGCGATGTCGGTGCGATTTTAGTCTTGGGTTGGACTCTCACCTGGTACCATATTACTTAATTATAGTTTTTGTGTGTTAAACAGTGACAATGTTCAAATATAATGTCAGAACGTATGAGAAAACGAAGAAAATGAGGGAGAAATACATCAGAAATGTAAGTAAAACGTCTAGAATAAATGATTGTAGGCTTATTTAGGATAGTAGTTTATAAAATCGATGCGTGCGTCGAATTTGGAAAGGAATTTCAACGTTTTATTTGATTTGAGGTCGTTGCTCGTGCAATCGAACGGACCAATCGAAGCGTGTTTTAATGGTCAAGGTAAACGTTTGACACCTTCACTACGCGAAAACGCGCATATTTTATTTCCGGTTTTTATATGCGATAAACACTTGGTGTTGGTGGGATATGCGTCGGCTCATCAAATGCCAATCAACGCACGTCGTAATTACATCTCGACTCAATCATCTCCAGCACTGGGTTTTCCATTTCCAAGCTTTCCACTCGTTTATTTCATGGTCTCATCACTATTTCTCGACATCTCTAGAGTAAAATTTAATTAAAATTTATTTTTACTATTTTTCTCTGTCTACAAAAATATATTTTATATAAAAATACCAAAAATAGAAAAAGATCAATTCTAATTTATCATGTCAATTTTTAGTTATTATGTTTTGACATGTTTCTGCTCGTCATTTCCGCTTTTTATCATTTTCTACATTTATTTCAATTTATTAACGCAGAGGAAATAAAATTACATTAATACATTGTCCGACCTTTAATATCACAAATGATGAACGCTCAAAGTGCGTAATTTTACAATTATTACCTCAATTATTATGCTGTAAATTAAGTTGTAAGTTTTAAGGTAAAAACACAAACAGAAAGTTCGTGTACTGTTAGAAAATGTAACCATCTACATGTTAATTTAATATTCCAAGTGATAAAGTCTCTCATTGTTGACTATGCAATGATGGTTTGTTGTACGTCTCAATCAATCCGCGTGCCTCTTTGTCCTCGTTCTTCGTTTGATTCGTACAATTCCGCCATAACTTGCATCGCTCGTAGGTAGATGGTTAGCCTATCTGCCGGGCATTTCTACCGTTTATTCTTTACGCAGTAAAATATGCAATGAGATGACTGAGATGAAGATTAGGCGCAATCGCATCGATTGGATGGGACGGGACGAAATTGAGTGGGTTTAACGCACACCGACGGCGTTTATTTATGGTTTAGGATTTGAATTTTCATCTTGTGAATTGGCCATTCATGCAAATGACTAGGTAGATCTTAAAATGCACTCGAATTGAATTCAATTTCCTGTTTGATTTGATTTTCTAAGTGTTTTCGTTATTACTATAAAATTGAAGTTTTTAATTGATTGTGTTGTTAATATTGTGTTTCTCTTTGTTGCAGGTGAGTTGACTTTCTCTTTTATTGCAATAATAACACAATCGGTGCGAAATCGTTCTGATTACACATTGATTTCATTATTGGTGAGTGAGTTGAAATCATAACTCGTACAATACGCAGAGAATATTTTAAAATCCGTCTAAATTTAGGTTAGCGGGAATTTGTTTACTTCCTTTATAGGTATTTTTACGCAAGTTAATGAGCGCACGTGCGTTTTCAGCAGCGGAGAGGTGAATGCTGAATTTAATGCGCAAACAAAACGCGTTTATTTCGTCTCGGGAGTGCGTGTGCAAGAGAGGATGCCGCCTATTTTTAGCGCGTTTCATGGTTTCATGATGTTTCCAGGCAACTTTCAAAACTCTTTACACGTTTCTCGCATAAACGAAGGTCAATTTGATGTGTAATTTGAAATTGTTGCTTAAATTGTTGATTGCGGATAGCAATTTTGAAATGGCAAAAGCCTCCACTGGCGTAAACACATTTTCAACGCCGCCCAAATATAGATTACTGATATACAATGTGTTCTCACATGGACAAAGCTTTGAGTTGGCGTATAAGCACCGAACATATGGTTAATAATAGAATTTCAAACGTATGTGCTGCAAAGAATGTATTCCAATTCCTGGTGGCGCGGCTGGAAAACATTCCGCGCACATCCGATGCATTGTGGGCCGAATTGCGAGCTTGGAGCAATCGCTCGATTACACAGCGCGCGCGCAATGAAGCCTACTTATTCTTAGGCTTAGAGAGGTTTATGCAGCACACAGCGCATTCGACGAGCAATTCAGCCGAGCGTTATCGCATTCTTCAGCGGGCCGGCGACGACGACGACAACGACTTCCTCGTGCTTGTCATTCGATTCAAATTTTACTCCAAATACCATTTGCGCAAAATTAGGACGGTTTAAATTAGAAATTGATGACGCCTTTGTTTTTGCTATGCAGGCAGAAAAAAACATAAATCGTACGTGATGTTTATAGCACGGGAATTTTTACATTTATTTATGTTTATGTTGATAGTTGGTAATGATGGTAATGCGGCAACATGGTTTTGCTATTAACACATTAACGAGATGGTAATTCATCTTAAAAATATACACTTGGACCTAGTTTATATTACACATCTAGATTATCAAACAAAATTTTATATTTTTTTTGTTTTTAAAGAAAATTTAAATTTTTAAAATTTAGTTACTTGAATATTAATTATACAATACCTATTGATAAGAATTTGAGGCGTTATCGGTGCGGTAATATTGAAATGCGGTTTCCTCCGCTGGAAGCTTGTAAGTTTTGTTGACACGCGCATATTTTACTACACGTGTGACGCCGATAGAGGCAATAAGGCATCGAGGCAGGGCAAAGAAAACACACCTTGTTCTTGTTACGGCTGTTATCGCCATGCCGGCGCGTTTCTTGTTGGTTTAGTGGGAATATTACCACACACTGCAGCCGCTGCACACAATAGGCGTTGATGGACAACACAAAACATACACGTTCCATATTGCATTCGCTGGCAGCATGCATAATTGAGTCTAATTGATGGTTGAGAGTCGCCCACATTGAATATATTGGTTACTTTCTTGAGCCAAGGAGTCAAAGACACAAGAAAAGAAACAATAAGTTTTATTGACCAAAGAAAACATAAAAAAATCAAGTTGTTTCAAGGGATGTGAATTTTTAATTGAATACCGGTGTTTCGGAATTTTTTATTGTTAAAATACCGGTTAACCGGCATTTGTAAAATTAAAAATATTAATAATCTATTGAAATATCGGTTTTTCAAAAAAAAATACCGATATACCGATGTTAATACCGGTATTTCGGTATTTTTTATATTAAAATATCGGTTAACCGGTAATTCTGGCATTGGTAAAATAAGAAAATTTAATGAAAAATTAAAATATAGGTTTTTAAAGAAAATAACCGGTATTCCGATATTAATACCGGTATTTCACACCCGTAGTACCAACTAAACTTCCCCTTTTTATTTGTATTGAGGGTTGCATTTATTTGTATTGAGGGTTGCATTTACAAATGTGAACCATTTAAACATTGTGTCACTGTTCAACAGGAACAGGAAGAACACATCACACTGACGTGTTGCTATCATATCCTCCGTCCCCAGTAGCAGATTTTAAAAGACTGCAACAGGGTGACTGTTTTGTGCTGCGTAAGTTCGTCGCCCTTCCCTGATAGATAAAAGCTGCGGAAGTTGCGGTTGTGAATGGAAAGGGTTGTTAACTTTGAAGGCACTTTGAAGGGGCCGTCCCCAACATGGACCACCAGTGTGATGAGAGATGGGATCAATCATGCATGTGCAAGCAGTGCGCGAGTGCACAAAGTGTGACTACTAACAATGCGACAATGTGACGTAGGCGTAGTTGTAGGTACATAATCGGATGTAAACGAACTCGGGGGCTAATGGACCGGAAAATTTGGGGGTGCCGGCACTAGGTGCAAAATTTGCTGCTCATGTGGAGTGAAGTGGAAACATTTAATTGCGATAGTTATCAAGGTCATTTGTATTTTTCAAAAATCTATATATATATAAATGAATTGCTGTTCGTTAGTCTCGCTAAAACTCGAAAACGGCTGAACGGATTTATCTTATCTTGGTCTTGAATTATTCGTGGAGGTTTAGGGAAGGTTTAAGAGGTGAGAAAAATTCGAATAATTGCCGGGAAAATTCTCAAAACAGCTCTTTTCTATAGAATAAAATTTGACATTGAGATTCAATCATAGTTATAGTTAAATAGTTGAATTCGAGATGGCGCGCTGAAGTGCATTATTGACAAAACTTTATAGAATTCATTTCTTTAAATTAAAATTGCTAATCTTATTGATAGAATTGACTCTTACTACGATTATGTCCAGAACAAGAGAGTAAAAACGAATTACATTTTTATTAAACACTGCCGGAACGAAGTCGCGGGCAACAGCTAGTTTAAAATAAAATAATATTTGTTGTAAATATTATTGAAGTTAAAGTTAACTTGGAAATTGTTTAGACTCTTGAGGCAGTTAGGAAATTGACCTAGTAAATAATCGCGTTTGATCTTTAGTGTTAACGAGTTGTTAACACTTCGTTAATTCTGTTTGCGTCGATTTCGTCGGAAAAATATTACGTTTTCTTGGTAATATAAACACTACACAACATATGGGCATTTTTATTGTGTGTATGTGTATGTTTGAAGCGTTGTTATTCGAAGCATTGAGTGTTTAGAATATAATCTATTTCGGTATTAAATAAATTCAGTAAGTACCTTGAAGCACGCATTAGTTTATTGAATAATTCATTGAATTAGATGAATGAGACGAATTATTTCATTGTTAAGATAATAGACGTCGAGATAATAGGAGATTATAATTATCTACAGGGGGATTTAGGAATTTAAAGAAAAAATAATAAATTTTGAAGGAAAAATTTAATGTTGAAGTTATTTTTGTATTTTATTAGTTTTTTTAATTACTTGATAGTGTATAACATGTTGTATCATGTGTAGTTTATTTATATGTACGTAAAATTAATATTTTAGAGGTTTTTGTTGATGGATAAACTTAAACTAGGCCAAAAAATAACAAAAAACATAATTTTGCTTGAAAATATTTAATTTTTCATGTTTTCACTTTTTGTTCATTTTGATGTCGTAAATATTGAACGCCATCAAGACATGAACGCTGGATGGATGACAGGATGCGTTCAATGTGCGCATGATGGACAAATTGCATCGGCTGGCGAAATGTGAAATGCGAACCGCCGGAATAAGCAGGATGTCCGACGCGTTTAATTCGAACAGACTCCGAGCCTATTCAGACTATCGTTTAATGCCAATTATATCCCTACAAATGCAGACTATTTATTGGTTTTTAAAATGCCCATCACACCGCATCTGGAATGCATCAAATAAACAAAATAGTCGGCTGTTGTGAATAACATTAATAGCTTAATATAACTTGAAGCATATTCACATCTCTTAATGCACATTTCACATTTTACGCATGTGAAACAAACAAACAAAAGAAAGCAATCAACATTAAATGTACATGTACGTACATCTGTCACTCCCCGCGAGTAATGAGCACAATTTTCATCTAAAGTGAAAGTTTTCGAAATTAAAAATTAAAAAAATAATTGAATGTGTTGTGATGAGTAATGTGACATGTAGATTACCTAAATTTAACAGGCGTAAATGAATATTACTGGACAAGTAAATTCCTTTACTTTAATCTTTGACTTTCAGAGTCTGGACATGACAAGACGGGTTTGAATGGGCGCATTAATCCACCCACATCCCACGTAACACATTTATTCTCTTTGTTCGTTCATTTACACTGTCTGATTGAAATACTCATACAAGTGAATGTACTTTAGTCAAATCATGAGATTTATCGAAGTGCAATCAAGGCACATAATTACAAAAAAGAAATAAAATAAAAAAGAAAATTGTTTGCTATTTTCTATTATATTACATCATTAGATGTACATCGATATAGTGTGTAGGTTGTAGTTGTACGTTTCTTGTTTCGCTGGTGAGATTTATGTCCGACTGTATCGCGTTGTAGAATCGCTAAATGTATTGGTCGACGATCAAAGACAGCGAATTCCGTGATTCTCTCAACTGCGCGTACAAAGTGAAACAAAACATTTCGCTATCTATGCGAATATTTTACAATTCACAAATACAAACATTTCTGCATAAATCACAAATGCACACATAAAACACATTTGTTAAGTTGGTTGCCTATTGTAATGGAAATGCGAATTCACATCACATCACGTTAGATCAGCTATATCATAGTGATAATTATCAGTGCAAGTGCATAAGCTGTACTTTTTTATTCTTCTATTCTTTTTTTATATCTTTTCATCTTGTGTGCTTGATGTGTACGCGGTGGATAATAATCGGTCGTCGACTCATTACTGTGCGTATCGTCCTCGTTTTGCTTCTGACTGTTGTGTGATGATTTTGCTGCCTTCTTGCGACTTGTGATCATCTTAAAGTGCCGCTTTTCTCTTACGCTCTGCGTAAACTAAACACAACGCGATGGAAACAACTGTAATAATAATCACCAAGAATGAAAACGGCAACAGTGTGCGTGGTGCTATCTTGATCACATGTGCACGACATGAAACAAGCTAAGAATGAAATAAAGAAATTAAAATTAAGAGAAGAGAAAAGTAATCACACCTTTTAACTTTAACTTTTGTTTTAACTTTTTTGATTAGAATTCAACCTCAAACGGTGAATGTAATGTTTGACACGGCTAATGAGCGCACTGCGGAGGTGTAGATAGAAGAGTTGATCACCTGAAGGCATGCAAAGTGTCAGAAAATCGCAAAAAATTAAATACAAGCAAAGTGAAGTAAAAATTTAATTTTAAACGTTTAGGGATGCGAAATTTAACATTTTTAAATTGATAATATTTATTTAGTTAACATATTTTCTGCTGTTGACAGCTCTCGAGCATTCACCCCGAAGTGCAGTCGGAGAGGTCAAGCAAACACAACACGAAACCGCGTGAAAGTATTCCGAACATAAACTGAAAACACTCTTTCCAAAGTACTCCAAGTCCTCAACTGGGACTATCCTGGTCTTGAGATGAGATGACTCTTTAATCATGCCATCATCATCGTTGTTGAAATTATTGAACTAATTGCTTCCATTAATTTCAATTTTAATAATCAACTCAGTCCATCATCAATTTATGCGTTTTCTGGATTAATAATTTATTTCTTCTCTTCTTTGTTGTGCAGTACTTCATTTAAAATGCGCCTCCGTTTCGTGCGCCGTAGGTTAGTTTATTTCATGCAGAGAGTAAGTAAGAGTGTCGTGCATTGTTTGTGTGACCGAGTTTTTTACCCCACATTGTTGTTGTTGTAATAATTTTGCTCATTTCATGCGATCGTAAAACCGCAATAATTCACAACACAACATATTTTTTTTATTTTTGTATTTTTTTTTTCATGAGTTTTGTGTTATTTATTTGTGGGTTAGAATTAGGATTTAAATGTGTGTGTTTGTATATTTGGTTGCATATCTACGATTTGAATAGGCTATTACTTTTAGAATCGTTTTTGTGTTGTGTTTTCGGTGTGACAGTCGGTTGTGAAAGCGTTTTGAAAAGTTTTCGACTGTTTGTGGGCTAGTTTCATCGTCAACGTCGGTTAGTTTGGTTTCATAATGCGCCATTGGAGGCTATTTTTAGGTTGTGTTTGCGACAAAAGGTGAAAACCTTTGGCACTCAACTAGTAAAAATATGCCATCCGAAAAATTGTGCATTGCATTGTGCTAAACTTTAAAAATTCAAACAAAAAAACACAATCAATACTAATTTCAAAGTATTTATATTTACACTTTTATTTTTGTATTCTCATCGGTGATTTAACGCTGTGGTCAACATCTGCATTGTTATCCCATGATGTAATTATTGTATTTGTATTCACTACACCATCAGTTGAAGGCAAACAATCCTGCGACCGGATAAAATACAATTAAAGTTGGTTTATTTAATAATGCACACAATTGCATACGAATTGCGCTGAAAATAGCGCGCGCAGACAATGTTTACAATACCCTGGCTAAGAAAAGCCTTTCTAGTGGTCTTTAATGTCTTTAGTGTTTACAGCATCACCACAGTGAGGTCTACATTGTGTGAGGTCTCCAGTTTTAATTTTATTTCAACTAAAAAAATATTATTTATTATTTTAAAGTAAAAATAATGTCGTAATAATATTTTTTAGATTTTAATTTTGCATAATTGTAAACAATGAGCCACGATTTGATCGGATGACTCAGAATCCTCTCGAGACTCGTGCACAAAACGCGAACTTTACCTTTTAAAATTCAAATGGCGTTCATTCTGTGTTGGAAACAATTGTTACGTTGGTTGAGTAGTCGAATCATCATGAATTAACTTGATTCGCCGTGAAAATACGAAATTTCATTGTAACTTTAACCTCAATTCGTGTTACTTGTATGTAGGCAACCCTAAGTGTATCGATTGATACTCGTAAACTTGCATTGCATGAGAATAGCTATTATGCAATATGATTTATATAGTAGGCTTTTAGGTACACATAAAATATTAAAACTCAATTTCCACACGCAACTTGCACTCATTCAATTGATTTTCATCGTTTTTTCTTCCTTTTTTCTTATTAATAAAAAATAAAAATATTAAATTGACTTTTATAGCGATTTCGTCATCGGGTGTCGTTTTTAATTATTACTCTACAGCCGACATGATCTCATTAGTTTCACCTATGATATTTATAGCTTCATTGACGGCCGCGGAGGTTTTAATTAATTACAACGGCACTTTGGGTCGATTCAATGTCGTTTATGGTGTTAATTAGTGATAGAGACTGCGCTGGACCGTTGCGAATACTAATATCATCGCTAATCAATGTGAAATTTTAATTTCAGCCAGTAGTGAATGACTTTTCCGAGAGTTTCGAGGCGTGCGCTGCATTAGCATATAAATAAAGTCGTAGAAAATAGAAAATAGGACGTGTGCCGCAAAACGGAAAAGGCGAATTTGTAACGGAAGTGTAAATGATGCTGAAATAGAACTTCTACGCATGCGCAAACTTTTTAAATTAATTAAATTACGTGTTATCATGTTATATTAAATAGATAAATGAATTTGAAGTATATTTTCGTAGAATGTAGATTAAATAATGATAACACGAACAAACATTACATCAAAATTTGGCCGACGCACGAAAATATCACTTATACACTTTCTGTTGAGCTATACACAACGTAAATTAATATAATTTAATTTTTAGCCTCCAGAAAACGAGCTGCAAAAAGGCGGCGAACGCGTGATGTCCGAACACGAGATCCGCGTCCAACGCTCACTCCAGAAGCTGAACGTGCCCGATTGGTACAAACAAGCCGCAGTACCACGCGAAGGCTTCCTCCTTCGCAGTAATAAATCCACGCATGGCGGCGGTAAGGAGTGCCGCTGGGCAGGTACGGGTAGCAAAACCACATCGCTGAGCAGCTTGGGTTCCGCCACACAATCCCCCGTATTGCTAAGCCCCTCGGCGCTGCATTCGCAACCATTCGTACGCTGGTCCACCTCCAAGCTCAACTCAACAGCGTCCTCACCCTGCGCCTCAACGCGCTCATCATTCAACGCCCGCTGCCAGCCGAACGGCGCCGTCTCCCCGTCCTCGGCGTCCCTGCGCGGCAGCTTCAATTACAGACAGCCGTATCTAGGTTGGCGGTCGCAGGAACGTCTCGCACGGCCACGCACACCCGCCGAGAGACTCGCCAGTACCATTCTCGGACAATCCACACCGCCACACGCGCAGCAACCGCAGGAAAGTCCCGAGATTCAGACGTCGATCAAAGAAGTCACCTCGGCGATTGTGCATTACGTAAGCGGGTTGAGGCCGGAGAGTGGGGGTAGGGAGCATAGTTATGATAGTCAAGAGACTGCCAGTCAGAGGTCACGATCAGCGTCGCCAAGGGGTAGTCAGAAATTATGCTGGTTGGAGAGTTCTTTTGTGGGTACAAGACCCTTGGACTCACCACAGACTCCGTTGACCTTGACGGAGAGCCCCACGCAGATGAATCACACGCCGGTACCGCCGACAACCCTGCGGTTGGACCTGCAGACGCATAATGGTGAGTTTGTTCATGCGCAGTGAACACACCATCGGGAATATAATTTAAAAAACAAAAACAAAAAAGAAAGCGATTTACCTACGGTGCTATAGATATTATAAATGATAGATTTATATTTTTACACATTACGACGACAAATTTATAATATAACATTACTAATCAGTCACCTCACATTTTACGCGTGTAAACTATGCAGGTTTTGATCATGCGTCGTCGAATTTTGTATATAAAATTATTAATTTTAATTTGAGAGAGATTTCTTATAGGTATACTACCCAAAAAACATATATTTAAACAACGCATATTTATTCTGTGTCTGTATCGAGTCTGTACATGTACCTATCTTTATATTTTATGTTTATTTCTTTATTCGTTGTTTATAATTAAGTTCAACGTCTGATTGTATTTTGTATAGAGACATATGTAGCGTCTAGCGTAGAGGTTTTATATATTTTTGATTTCATTTATTTTTTAATAGATTTTATGTACAATTTTATTTTTTTTCAAATTCAGAAATCACATTTACCTCATAAAAATGTGGTAAGTTCATTATTTCATTTTGTTTCGCATGTTTTTATTTAATTTTATTAACATTATTAATTACACGTTATGTTTAAATACTAATCTTTAATTAATTGTTATAATAATGGTGTGTGATGGTGTTTTAATGTAAATTTGTTGAATTTATTTGTATATTTTAAAATTTTGATTTCCTGTAACAGATTCAAACGCTTTGAGCACGGCAGGCAGTCGTAGACCCTCGCCATCATCAACAACACTCGAAGACGTGCTGGATTCGTTACTCGGACTGCCGTCGTCGACGCGCGCCCCCAGTCCCAGTCTCCAAGGTAGGAGACATGTGTAAGTTTCGTTTGCAGGTTCCTAAACCAAAAAACGTAAAACGTAAAGCAGCTGATGCGCAGCCGCCCTAGCGCCGAGTGCCGAACCGAACGGTTGACATACGCAACCTTTCATACACGCGCGCGATGATACCGTTCGGTGTTGTAACAGAGTATCTCTATATGCGTAAGCAAATTACATTCTAATGCAACTCTACTCTTGCAATTCAAATTGCACCACAAACTACTCATTTTATTCTTGCTTCTTGAAAGTTGCATACCAGCAATATAATTAGCAACAATATTCGGCTTAGTAAACGAATCATCGCACTCAGCTATTAATCTTCATCGAATTGACTAATGTAGATTGTGCGCATGTGCTTAAACGTAGATTATACGCTGTAATTATAGCTTTAAACTAAATGTAAGCAACCCAATATACTCGTACATTTAAAGTAAAGTGGGTTGCTTACTTTTTTCAAAAGGTAAATATCACATATTTTGCTTCGTTTTAGTTTAAAATTCAAGTAGAAATTAATTTTTAGTTGATTTAAGGGGTAGATAGTAATATTTTGTGTATTTTAGGGACGGCGTCAGCTAATACTAGTCCCATTCGTCGACAAGGAGAACACCAGCGTGCTGCAGAACAATTTCGCCGTCGTAGTGAAGGCAGCGAGCCTGCAAGCCGCCCTTCTTCGGACAGTCGACGTGCCTCGCTCCACGCATCACCGATTCTCCGCTGTCGTAACTCTCGCTGCGGCCGCTCGGCCTCCCCACGCTCCTCGGAGGCGGCACAGTTTAAAAACTGCCACAACTGCTCGTATACCTATTGTAGTCGCGGGTGTCGTCGTGAACACTGGGAGAAACACCGTAAAACCTGCCTGTTTTCACGTGTGGGCACCCTGTGTAGACAGGTTATTGCCGCCGCCAAGGAACAAGAGGATACTTTACGAACTCTTTCAGCAATCGCACGACGTGGGTATCTATCACAGGGACAAGGCGCTGTGAAAATATTCTTTCCATGTCCAGAGGCTGCTGAGAAATTTCTCGGTAACGGATTGGGTAGCCTTGGTGATCCCACTTATGTCCGATGGGCGGATCTACTCCCCTCTGAAATGGGACCTGCACTCTATGCGGAACTAGTCAAAATGTGCAAGAATTACAATCCTGATTCGCGACTGGTTCTGTATGTTTCGGTGTGTGTGGTTTCGGAAGCGCCTGCAGCCGGTGCGGTGAAATGGGAACGACAGTTGGTCTCACGTTGTGGTAAACTGCGGCTCAGTCGAGATGTCCGTGTGCCTGACAGGGAGGTAGAGAATCCCGAGGCGATTATTCTAACGTCGAAACCGTTAAGAGAAGAACCCATTCAGCGGTTGCGTGAGATTAGTTTCCAGAATATACAGCGCCATCTACAACAGCGTGGGGTTAGTTTAAAACGGCAGTACCCGGATATCTACCAGCAGTTGTCGAGCTACGTGGAAGGTAAAAAGAACAAATTCACGCCTGTGACGGTGTATCCCAAGGACACGAACACTGGTAAACCATTTATGTGTATTATTATGCCGGATGTGGAACCAGAGTGTTTGGAGAAGGTCACCACCGCCGGGGTGCGTGTGCGGACGGTGGACGTGCTCGACGATGAATTCATCCTGGATAATACCTGATTTTAGTTGAATATGTTGGATATTTTTAAGGTGCCAAAGATGACAAATGTATGTGTACAAAGACAAATAACATAGGCAACCAATCATACCACTAACCTCTAAAAAATTACATACGCCTCAAATCTTTCAAATACACAACTTTGGAGTAAATTTTCATTCGCGATTTTCCAACATATCAAATATTTACAACCAAAGAAACATTCCAATCACACGTACCGATGTAGGAATCTACACCTAAGAAACAGCACACGTAACCGTAAAAAATTTAATCTTAACCTTAAAATCTGGGGTTCTCCTGTGATCATCTAAATAAAATTACTAAACGCGTAATAGAGCAGTACATGTAAACGTAACGTAATGAAATTATAAGTATAAATCAAGTGCTGCAACCCAACAAACACTAAATTCGATTTGTGTTTGCATAGTTTTTGTTTAGCTGAACAGAAAAGTAGATATTAATTGTTGAGAATATATTCCGCAGATTTTACCGCAAGATGAATAATCATGTTAACTACTGTACAATTTTTAGGCGTGTGGCGCAATGTGAAATTTAATTTCGATATTTAGAGAGAAAAAAAATGGCGCATACGGATATATCTCGGAAATAGTAAGGTTAAAAGAGGTTATGTACGAAAACATGGATGGGAATACATTGAGATTGGAGCCTGTTAACATTTCTAACCTAAAACAATTGGGAATTGAATTGAATGCTTGATTTGTTATAAATTAATGCTTATTCTATTGATAATCAAAAAGTTGTCAAAACGTAGTGCAAAAAATGGATATTTTATTGAAAGAAACTAACCAAAGAGCTTATAAAAGTTATGATATTCTATTTTTTCGAAGACATCCCATTGCGAGCACACAGTGATTACGTTGCTTGAAATGCCGATGCTGATAAGACTATAAACACATATATTATTCTATATAAATAGTAAAATAAAAACAAAATGGCAGCGATTTACAAAATCGCTTTGAAATTGAAGAACAAAAGACAAATAACAAACAAAAGAGGAATATAAATGCATACACATTGCTCACGCATTGATAATTGAATATGTTAACTATAAATTAATGAATAGAAACGCGCGTTTGACTGAATTCAACTGAATATCTAAAGAAAATGAAAATGTTACACTCATTCTCGACGATAATAACGTGTTTTATATTTTCTAGGCGTAGAAAATGCGATTAATTGTTGATTTAAACTTCAGAACACCACATGTGTATATACTAAAGATACTAAACACTCACACACACACACCAATTGATAATAATTATGTATTGTTTAACAAGTCCCTCGCCCCTTTCACCTGTTAACATATTGTGCAAAGTTTCACCCCCTCTATTTAACTGTCTTTCGACCTTTTTCAACTAATTAGGCGTAAACGGATGCGACGATGCGCGAATGCTAAATGATATTGACTTATGTATATGAAGTATTCAATAATTATGACATTTAAATTAAATAAAACGGAAACACAAGATGGCGATGACATTGAAACAAACATACAACTGATAATAATATAAGTGTGATCAAATGTAATTAAATGAATGCTTGCAAATGCGTTTGGGGAGTGTGAAAACGTTTAAATTATGAGGCGATATAATAAAAGACACAGCAATACTTTGTTTTGTTTTAAATTGTATAATTTTAAAATTGTAACAACGAAGTGTCAAAATATCTTATCATAGGAATCTGTATTTTTACAGTTTTATAGTTGTATAGTTGTAATAGGTTAGTTATATGTGTATAGATGGCGCTAGTGGAGTTTAAAGTTGTGTTGTTGTTCATAGATGGCGTGCATGTTGGCGCGTACAGTGCGCCACCTGCCACGAAAACAACAAAAAAGAACAGCATCTTGGGTAAGTCTAACAAGGTCAACAACACTGATCGCGGTGCACACACGCGAACGCAGCTACCGCGCGCGACTACCGTCCCGTCGGCACACATTCACGCCGCGACTCTCGCCAGTCTCGCGCAATCGACGCAGTTAGCAGTTTTCGAGCGGTGTTGTGTAGTATATTTGTGAATTCGCTTGGGATTGTGCGTGTGCGTGCGAAGTGCGCGCCGTTTACGAGTGCCAGCCCGCCGCCGCCTGCAGGACTGCGGACAGAGACATGGACAGCGCGCCGACGGCCCGACGGCGACGACGCGCCCGGTCGCCGCGCGATAAGATTGTCGCGCGAGCGTGATGTGCGAGGTGCTCTCCGATCATCTTTCTCCGATTCCGAAGGTGAGCGCGCATGTGTGCGTGCGTGTTTTGTTTTTTTCTCCGCGCGGGATGGCAACCCGCATGGTCACACATACAACACACAAACACGCAGACATTACAGTAGCGCCGAATACGCATACCTTTGCATTTTGGGACACGGGCACGTCCGCAAGTCCGCGGACGATCGTTTCCAATGCGTGTTATGCATGTGTGTGTGTATATGCGCGGCTGTCTCTTCGTCGTGTCGTCGAGTTACGAAAGCACAGCGGGCGCAGCGCTGCGCTTCATTAGTTTGTTGATAATCGGAAGGTGAAACTGCGACAACGCTCAATGCACCAGTGCGTGTTATGTGTATCTATGCATGGAAAAGTTTTCCGAAATTTAAACATGGCGGAATAAACAAAACACAATCGACAAAATCAACAACACTTGATAATATCATCCATGTTTTCGCTTGCAGATTGCTGAATTCTGCGATTATTTCGACCGAATGCATCATTCGCAAAGCGCAACAACAACAATGTTGTTGCCAACGTAAGTGCGCGTGTGTGCCCACCAGTTTTATCAAAGACCATGGCGGAGGAGTCGCTGTGCGAGGAGATGTTGCTGGCGGCGGCGACGCACCGCTTCACCGACGCCACCAACGGCGTGCTGAAGCACCCCGAGTGCAACACGCCGAACAACAATCTGTGCGCGAGCGATATTAAAGACTGTCGCGAACTTAGTGCGACGCACCTTCGCGAGGACTCGCAGGACTCTGTCGAGAGTGGTAACACGACAACATCACAAGGTAATTGGTATAAACTTAATCATAAAGCATGTTTTTATTTATTTTTTGCTTGTTTTTGGGTGTTTAGATGAAGAATCGTCCATCAATGAATTTTCATTGCTTTCCGAACCGAGCACCTCGCCGAAAGAGAACAGTAAGAACAGTAAAAGTGCAGCGGCGCGTAATTTTAGTAACGGCGCCGCCGATAAAAACAGTAAAGTGCGTAAAAGGGCAGCCGCCACTGGTCGGGGGCGGCCGCGGAAGGCTCTCGTCGCTATGTACCACAGTCAGATCAGCGGCGACAAGAACACCATCAAGATACGCATCAAGAAGAGTAATTTATCGACGCACACACAGGTTTTTACCATTTTTTCCTTAACTTTTTTAATTTTTAAAAATATTTATTGTTTTTTAGCTGACGCCAAACAAGAAGAAAAGTGGCCGACGAAAAAAGCACAAGACGTCCGATACGGACACATCTGACCATGAATCAAGCACGACTGCGAAACGCACGAAGAATTCCACAGTTGAATCGTCGCAGGTCGACGCCGCGAGTGAACCGCAGGAGCAAAGCGCCTGGGGTTCAACAACGCCACCTGCTTTACTTCTGTCGATATTTCAATATGTCGTGGGACGTGATGGAGCACTTCCCGGTGTGGTGCGCTTGTCGAAAGTGTGTCGGTTGTGGCGTGATGTCGGTGCAAGTCCGTCGCTCTGGCGGAAGGTCGATTTGAATGCGGTGAAGGAGCGCGCGCGGACAGATTATCGCCTCAGTTGGCTGGTGCTGCACAAGTTGCCGCTCTGCGAGGATCTGAATCTGGGCGAGTGGAAAGTGCGGGATATTCAGGCGACGCTCGAGGAGATCACTCACAATTGTCCGCATCTGCGTGGGTTGAATCTCTCCGGGTGGAAGGGTTTGAATGCTGATAATTTGAAGTATATTACGACGGAGTGTGCGAATCTACAGAGGTTGGACTTGTCGTCTATTAATGTGAGTGTTTGGTTGCCTATCTTGACTATTATTTGATTGTATTTTGATTGTAGTCTACTTCTGCGATTAATGCGCAACCTTTGGTGTCACTCGGACAAACTATGAACACGCGTTTGACGCATTTAGTGTTGGCGCATAATAAAATCGCTGGGTTTACGCAGATTATGGCGTCGATAGCTGTAAGTACATAACCTTTATTCAAATTATTTATTTACAACATAAAAATTAATTTTTTAATGTATTTCTAAGGGTAATTGTGCAAATCTTGAGCTTCTGGACATATCCAACATACGCACGTTTGCGCACAACACAGCATTACTCCACGTGGAGAAACTTCAGATTGGTTGCCCGAAACTGAGAGTGTTAAGATTGACAAATAGTCAAATCTGGTTGGCGCCTGCTAGTCTCACCGATCAGGTCGCGTCGCCTGGGTTCCCTTGCCTTGAAGAATTATCACTGGCAGGAATCGAAGATGACAAAACAACGACAGCGCGTTGCGTTGATGATGACGGTATTGAGCGGATACTGAAAAATTCAACCAAGTTGCGTTTATTGGACGTGCGTGGGTGTATCAGGCTTACCGATTCTGGTTTGGTGAAGGTACCTGCGTGGGATCTCGAACATTTGTTTCTAAGTGGTAAGAAACAACAAAAATATAGTTTTAAAACGTTTTTAAAATGTTTTTCTTGCAGCTTGTTTAATAACACGCGCGCAAAACTCCGGTCTCGAATTAATCCTGCAGAAATGGAGTCATAGTCTGCAGGAAGTTGATCTGGCGTGGTCCACCGCAACGGAATCATTGGATAATGCGGTGATTGCGTTGACAGAAGCTGATAATCCACCATTACGGTAATATAAACTAAAAAAAAGTAAATTATTTTATTTTTTTGTATGTTTTTTATGTTTTACAGGACGATAAACCTATGTGGATCTTCTGTAAGTCTCGAACCAGTGAAGGCAATCCTCAAAAAATGCCCTCACCTGCATTCCATCAACCTGCAGTCGTGCAGAGCGCTGCCACGAGGCATTAAACGCCTGTACACCGGATCGGCGGTCGCTGAACTTCGACAGTCCTTACAGGACAAACCCAAGACAGACGACACCGCAGGCTCGGACAATGACGCCGCCGAAACGACAAGCTAAATCAAAATGGCGCATACCAATAAGACATATATAATAACATAAAAAACAAACAAAAAAGTACCTGCATTGTAAAAATATTTAAATAGTGCATTTACAAATCAAGCTAAACACAATTATTGTACACACAAGCAAAGAAATTTATCGAAAGTTGATTGTTTGCCACACTGCAGGTCAACAAGATGGCGGCTTATAGGACACGGGCGGCTCTTCTCGAATACAAACACGGCACAAATATTAAATTATTATATTGTTGTACATACGAACGCAAAGAACGTAATGGATTGTTTCGTGCGAACAATTACGGTACGGATATTAGATACACATACAAAGAAATCTAATATATAAATATATGAATATATATTATTACAAATATATACATACACAAGTAGATTTTAAGGTTATTATATGATGATAAATTAATTTAGGCGAATCGTAAAGCGCGCGCGAGTTGAGAGACGTTTTTTAATTATTGACACAAACATATAATATATATTCTAATGGTAAATAATTATTCTAATTAAATTTATATTTGCGGAGGGTGTAAATGTTGCGATATGTTATTTCTGTTATTATTCGTTTGTTTTATCGTGTACTTTTAATGATTTGATGTTTTTTTCTTTGCTCGATACAAATTTGCAAACTGTACATAGTTTTATTCGAGGGACACAAACACACCGATGAGAATCAAATTGTTATAGGGAGACATGCGCAGTAGTGTACATAAGTTAGCAATGACCAATTCTGTATGCAGTCATTGTATTTATTGTTCTCTTCACACACACACACACCCAGTACACATGTGTAGACATTTTGCGCAGATGAAAGACAAAAATGGCCTTAACGTGCAAATCGGAGAACATTTACTTGCAGATGCAGACGTTATATCGCACTTGTACAAAAGCGTACACTAAAATTAATTATTGTCACGCTACCAATAACTGCTTCACCCAGAGTAGAGTTGTGATTTTGTCTAGAGCAATCAAAAAAAACTATTTAAAAGCTAAAATGATTAATTAATTGAATGAATACTATTGATAAAGCAATTTGTAAATAAAATATATGTTCTTTTTATATAAAAGACATCATGTTTGTGTTCTGGAAAGTAGTTAAAAACAGTTTTGTAGATATTTTAAAGGAATAGTAATGGCGCTGGTGTATAAATTGTATTGCCAACTGTCTAGTGATTGTTCTTGTTCTGTTGAAGGTTAAATATCACTAGATTCCCCCAGATTCCTGGCTGTCATTCAGGTTGTGAATAAATGGCAGATATAATGGCCGCCAACAGTGGTGGAGTCGAATGGTCGTCCGTGATAAAACCGTTCTTGCGCGTCGACGCATCGCCGACCGGCCGCAGTGATGTGCTAGAAATATGTGCGGTGATCTTGAAAAAGTACGTACCACCAGCATGCAGCTATCAGCCGCTGTAAACGGCGCGTTTTTGTCAGCGGCGAGTGCGTTTTGACACCTTCGTGCGGCATCCGCTGACGAAAAACACGTCTATTTATATTCCGGTGCATTCTGTCGTTGCACTTCCGATTGTTTTCAAAATCGTCGAGTTTTATTAATTCTGTTTCTGTGTGTCGTAGTCAAGCCGAGATCTTGCAGCAGAAGGAAGGCCACCAGGAGTTTTTCAACGCCTTTACCGTCCTATCGGCGAATTTGATTGCGAGTAATGCTACAAACGGTGAGTGTACAAAAACAATTTCACAATATTTGCACAGATAGTGTCATACTATTAATAATAATCTTGTAAAAATATCTTGTTTTGTAGTTTCGCCGGCGCACCTGGAGGTCGTGAGCGGCGCATGCGGCGTCCTGCTGAAGTACCTCGTCGGCTCGTTGAACACTTCGGCGTTCTTCGACCCGGACGGTACGCATCCCCACGTCGAGCGTGCGCTGAAAGCAATTCGCTCGCTGTGCAGTGGTATTAATACTTTCACCTCGGCGGAGATTGATACTCTCACCGACATCATGAAGGGCGAAACGCCACCACAAACTAATCCAGCTTCAACAGGTACAAAATAAATCATAAAATTAAATATCTTATAAATAACTTGGAATATTTTTGTAGAAAAAGAGTCCAGTAACAAACAAGATGTCAAAACACGCACTGATTTATCAGCGAACATCTTCGCGCAGCTCACAATGCCGATCCGAGATGGTGACACTCTACAAGATTCTCCAGCGCAAGTATCTGGAGAATCAACAAACAGTGATCCAGCGATGGAAATCAATGTAAGTTTTATATTAAACAAAATGGTGACTTTGTTTCTATTGGATAATATTTGTTTAGCGATTATTCATCAAAGCAAATCGCGAAAGCTTGCAATCAATGCGCGCTGGTGATACCCTCGTGGATCTTTGCCTCAGCCTGCCATCAATCAAGAAAACACGGGCTAAAATCGAAGACGCGCTTGCGAACAAACCCTTCGCGTTGCCCACGAACCACTCGGAGGCAACCACGGTTCGCAACAGTCTCGCATCGACAGTCGCCGAGATAACATTAGTCTCCTCAGCGATTAATCTACCTGTCCTCGAACCGCTCACACCTACAAAACTAGAAAAACTCTGCAATCTCAGCATGTCTGTGCTGTACATCGCAGTGAATCAAGCAGCAGCCAGTTCTATTCTATCCATGGGCTCAGCGGTATCACCAAAATGCACCACGGTGCAATCACAGACCAGCCACAAAGAGGATGACTTGGATACAAACGCAGTTACACTTGTAGAAGAAGCGCTCAATCTCTACAGCTACATTGGTAATGCAATCAAGACTTCCACAAGAGCCGGAGGTCATGTACATCAGAATTATTTACTAGCTGGTGCATGGGTGTTGATTTCTGGTCTTCAAAGTCACGTCACAGCGTGTACGACAACCAGCGAAAAACCACATCTACGAGATGACAAAGGACGCAGTCCTAGTAAATCACGCGAAGCACAGAGCTCAGCTCGTTCGGGTTTGGTAAAATTCCAACATTCATTTGGTGTGTTGTCTGTTGCGTTAGCAACACGCGCTTTATTACTATTGTCAGAATTATTCGACGATTTAAACCTGGAGGTTTGCGGTGGGAATACCACCATTCCCCAGATTGACCCCGCGCCTATTTCAATCGCCGGGCAATACACAGCTTCGCAGCGTGTAGCGAAAATTCTAAACACTGCACCGCTCAATCAGTTGTTCTTTTATCTCGCGCTGGTGAGTTATAGAAAAGCGTGCACTCTGAAGCGTCATACACCCGAAGGCGATACGTTCAGCCTGAGCGATTCCACGACTTATTACTATGAAGATATGATACTCTGTTCGGATGTGAGTTCGACAGATGAAGATGATGATAGTGAACCGTTGTTGGGGCAATGGTTTGAGGAAACACTCGCACCGCCTGAGCCCAGCGAGAATAAAACCTCGCCGACGGATAATCCCGATGTGAAGACGATTCAGGGTGATAGAGGTAATTCGATTGTGCCGGAGAAAGGCGAGGCGCATGGGTTTATCACGCTGGCGACGAGTATATTTGCGTTTATGAATAAGCACTTTTTGCTCTCGAAGAGCGCCTATGTGTCGCGGTATATAAAAAGCGGGATTACAGATCAACAGATTGTGATACTCGCGGTTATTATACGGGATTTGGATAGGGAGACAGCCCGGACTGAAGTTGGTAAGTTTTTTAAACTTCATTATATTGTTTTAGTATGTTTATTTGTATTTTTTTAAATTAAATTTAGCCCTGGGACAACTCTATAGTGACTTTTCGGGTGCCCTGACACGTTATACACACAACCTGGTCACCCACCCTAGCCTCCAACCGCTGCAAGCTAGTCTTCTGAATAATCTGGGTGTCTCACCTTGGAATTCCGATGTGCCGCATGGATGGCCCCTGCAGGTTTACGCCAGAACCTTATCAGTTCTCGCACAGGTTTTATTAATGCGTCCGCAGACTGAGAAAGAAGCGTCGGTGATTAGCATCTGGCACCGGTTGGTCAATACACTCATTGAGAACGTGATCAATGTCCCGGCGGTGGTTGAAGGTGACAATGAAGACCTCAACGTGGAGCACGCACAGGTTCTGGTATATCTTTTTCATTCGTTGAACTTGATGCAGAAGAAATCGGTGGTTCTCTTGCTGGCTGGTGGTTTGTTGAGGTGTTCGGAGGTTGTTCGAGGTACCCTGCGTGATTCACAGTTGTTGCATCTGTCACGACTGCTGCTTTTGTTTGATTACATCATGAAACATCTCTATGATGCACCACAACAATTATTAGAGCAGATTTTGTTCAATTTGTTTTATTCGACGAATTTGAATACGGATAAAGAGAGCAAGGAAAATAATATGTCAAGGATGTATACGCCATGGCAATGGGCGGATACTTGTCCCAAAATCAGCCGGGAAGAGTTTACCATGAAGCCGACGTTTTATGTTTTGTCCAATTTCGAGATAAACAACCAAGATGCGCCGAAATTGGATGGTTTAGCTTGTAATTTCATCCTGGGTACACCTGATAAACTACGGTATCCTTTGTTGCTCGATGCGTTGATTGAAATTCTGACTGTGACGAATATTACTTCTGGTGGGAACGCTTCGAAGATGACAAGGCTTGGTTTATTTGCGACACAGTATTGTTTTTCAATTTGCTGGAAATTGTTGCAATTGCTACCGCCATCTACGCCATATTTGGAGAGATTACAACGCGGTGAGGTTCTACCAGCAGGACCTTTATTACTGCACGCGTTAATTTGGGGACCAAGATGTGGGCATAAGAATTTCACCAGGTGGCTCAAAGACTGTCTGGTTAAACAAGGCCTTTATACGCAAAACACCGAAAGGTTAGTGAAATCTGTATCCGATGTGGTGAATACACTGAAGTATGATATTGCTACGGCGAAGAATTGTGTGATTGCGCTTACGCCCGATATTAAAAAGGGTGCTATGACGAAAGAATCCCTTCCACCATTGTGGCATTTGTATTTACTGCATGCTGTGATTGCAAAAGTGCAAGTTTCGTTACTGGACGAAGCGGAAACTAATACGGCGGATGCTAATGGCGCGACTGTGTCAGGCGCGGCGTATGTTCAAGAATTACTACCGCATGTCCTGCGACTTGCGCAAGCTATTTTGCATTGTACAAGATGGTCGCTGTTGCATAGCATGGTGGAGCAGAGTGAACCAGCTGGGAAATACACCGTGCAAGATTTCGAAGGTTTGCAAGAGGTTTTGGCGATTGCTACGAGCAAATCAAAACTTACCACTGGTTTAGTACCGGATCAAGCTACGCTTTTGCCTGCGGCGGTTAATAATGTCATACAACAGTGGCACACTGCTAGTTTGGAGGAGTGTACATGGACACCGCATTTGGGTGATATCATTGTTTCGGAGTCTTTTATCCTGAAGATTATTGACACACATATTCAGACATTATCATCGTCCAGTTATAGTTTTTCGATAAACTTGTCTCTGAAATGTCTTCTACAGAGGCTCATGAAATTCGTTTGCAATCACGCGCCGCAAATAGAAAACACCGATACGAAAAATAAAGTAATTGAGTTATTGGTTTCTACCACACTGGATGTACGCACTGAGTTTCTACAGGAGTCAGTGTCAAAGGTTTTGGAGAAGATGATTGGTGATGCTGAGACTGACGAACATCAAAAGCGCGTGTATCTACAGATTTTGGATAATACCTATAAACTTATAACGAATTACACGAATAATTTGAATGGGAATGTCAACGAAAAGATTCTGCATAATTTCCTCAAGTTCTACGAGAGACTGATTGAGAAATCTGCAGGTCGTCAAGCTTTGGAAGCGTTTTTCACCGGCGAGAAAGATTTAGTCAAGGTGTTGATGTCCGTGAGTAATCCGCAGATGTCGCAGCAGTATAGCACGAAAGTGTTGCATTTCTTCAACAAACTCTTCAACTGCGCCGAGAAGAGTTCCACCGATCCTAGTCTGAATTATTTGTGCAGTAGTATGAGTAAACTGGCGAATGTAGAAGGGGAAAAGTTGCAGACTTGGTTGAGGCATGTGATAATTGGACCAACGGCTGTACCTACTAGTCCTGAATCAACCGACATGGTGTTATCAGGACAATGGCAGGCAAGCGGAGAGACGGCGTCACCCAATGAAGAAGTTAAGAATTTAGTTCAAGAAAATAGTCAGCTATTGCAAGCGTTAACCAACTTTATTGTCAAACCCACTAGTAATGTATCTGAAGATGTGGCGGGTACCATTCTCAAGGCCCTGCTGCGTTTGGGGACTCATATTTTATCAGCACCTTTGGATGGTAGCGGATTTACTGATCTAATGGTTGTAATGACTATGTTGGCTGATGCTGGTACCGGCAGTGGGCATATCTTTTTGTTTACTGTCATATCCGAGTTGTGGTTGGATGATTGTAGAAGGTACCTTAACAAACCGGAAATCATTGAAAAACTGTGCAATGTTCCCGAGGCGGATAAAAACTGTATTATCCTAGATGCGGCTTGTTGCATGCTGGATTACATGAGTGATGTGATTAATGGTATCCTCAGTCATCAAAAGGTGCCACTTCAACGTCCGCTTAGCCCCGCATGGGAAAACGAAACACCATTGGATCAAGACCCTGAAATGTTAGAGGAGATTAATGATGAAGAAGATAGTGGCGAGGAGTCTGATGAAGATTCACTATGTAACAAACTGTGTACTTTTACGATCACACAGAAAGAGTTTATGAACCAACATTGGTACCATTGTCACACCTGCAAGATGTTAGATGGTGTTGGTGTTTGTTCAATATGCGCAAGAGTCTGCCATAAGGGACATGATGTGACCTATGCGAAATATGGTAACTTTTTCTGTGATTGCGGAGCTAAAGAAGACGGCTCTTGTCAGGCGTTGGTAAAACGCAGCCCGCAATCATTAGAGACCAACGCGATTAATGCGGTTGCAAATACAAGTCTTGGATATATCGCTGGAGAGGAAAGTCTTACTAGTTCCATGCGTAAAAAAGAAGCTTTGCTTACAAAGGAAAGACCAGATATCTACATTAAACGTGAACGGAAAAAGAATACCATCGTGAAGAGATTAGAAGGATCCCAGGAACTTATCCTGAAGTATTTAGGAAAGACTACTGTTCCGGGGATTTTATTAGACATGCTGCAGAATATCCTACCAGCAATTGAAATGTCCTGTAAGAGAAACTCATCTGTTGGGTGTTATTCCCGCGCGATGAAAGCCCTGCAGAATCTACACAGCCCCGATAAAAAGTTCCAGACAACTGATCAATTGATGGTACCCACGTTGGGGTCACAAGAAGGCGCGTTTGAGAATGTCCGCATGAGTTATGCGGGTGAGCAAGGTCAAACTATCAGACAATTACTATCCGCGCATATGATTCGACGTGTTACCATGTGTTGTATGTCATCCCCACATGGTAAACGCCAACAATTGGCTGTGGCACATGAAAAAGGAAAGATATCCGTGCTGCAGTTATCCGCGCTGTTGAAACAAGCGGATTCTTCTACGAGGAAATTAACCCTGACAAGATTGGCCTCTGCGCCTATACCCTTCACAGTATTATCCCTCACTAGTAATTTGTGCAATGAAGATTACCTGGCGGTTTGTGGTCTTAAGGATTGTCACGTTTTGACCTTTAATTCAAGCGGGGCTGTGATGGATCACCTTGTGTTGCATCCTCAATTAGCTTCGGGGAATTTTATCATTAAGGCAATATGGCTGCCGGGGTCTCAGACTAAATTAGCGTTGATTACGCCTGATTTTGTTAAGATCTATGACCTGGCCAAGGATGCACTTAGTCCACAGTACTATTTCCTGGTACCCAGTGGTAAAATAAGAGATTGTACATTTATGTACGATGATGGCAAGTATAATATTCTCCTGATGTCGTCTCCAGGACATATATACACAGAAGCTCTAAATGAGGAAAGTTCTGCGAAACATGGCAGCTTTTACGTTACCAATACCCTAGAGGTGTTCCATCTGGATGTCACGGATGTAAATGGACAAGTTGCTGGTGGTGGAGTGTCCATTTACTACTCTCACACTTTAGGCTTGCTGTTTTATTCATACGCGCAAGGGAAGAGTTTTGTTTCCCCCGTTACACCCAATAATAATTGCCTGGCTGTGGTGTTCCCGGTAACACTCACATCGTCATCGAAGAGTAATGGCGGGAAATCACCCGCCCCACAACCTCTGTGTCAATGGACAGAGATACCTAACCATCCCGGATTGATTTGTGCTGTGATGCAGTCCAGTAACAACCCGGTTGTGCTTATGCTAAGACCTGACACGCTTTCTATCCAGGAAGTCAAAGTTACTCCGAGTAAATCTAAGATTATGGACATGGTTGCCATCAGGCATCATTCTGGACAAGAACAACGCACCACACTGATTTTACTTTGTGAAGATGGTAGTCTGAAGATCTACATGGCTAATATGGACCAGACTGGGTATTGGATGTCACCCAGTGTGCAAACATCTGTAAATGTTACAACTGTAGTCAAGCCAAGGAAGAAGAAGGTTGTAAAAACTGGTAAAACACCAAGTTCTGTTACGTTCCCAGTGGATTTCTTTGAACATTGTAATCCTATGAACGATGTGGAGATTGGCGGTAATGACTTGCTGCAGATTTACAATGTAGGACAGTTGAAACATAGACTGAACACGAATGGTTTGTTTGTGGTTTGTACCAAAGCTCTCGGGTTTTCCGTGGAGATTACAAACCCAGATAATAATCAAGTTATGACTGGGATACGTGTGCTGATGGGTACCCAGGACCCACAAAGGTCACCAACGTTTATTGAAATCTTCGGACGGATTATTACAACGACCACAACACGGAGTAGATGGTTTGATATACCATTTTCAAGGGAGGAGAGTCTACAGGCTGATAAAAAGATAACCATTATGTTTGGACCTTCGCAGGACCCTGAAACGGTTACTGTTTTGGAGAGTTTGAAAATTTACGGGAAACCTAAGGATGCTTTCGGATGGCCTGAAGAACACGATGACAGTTTAGCTCCGAGTGGACCTAGTGTTGCCAGTAACAACGCCGCGACATCAGGGGATAATCCCGAAGGAGGAAGTGCTTCTAATTGTGTACCCAACACAAAACTTGATAAATTTGTCGGAGGTTGTCTGGATGTCCTTGATGGTAGTTTCTGTTTGAATACCAGCGATGAAAAAATGACAGCGCATAAATCCGCGTCGAATACTGTTGCGACACAGTTGCTTACCATGCCTACACCACCAGTGCTTCAAATGCACGCGACATCTTTACTTTCTTCGTTATACTCCTCCACGGCAGCTTATCATATGTACAAGGACCATGAACTCCTGCAACATGTCCTGGCTAGTCTCAAAACAATGAATGAGATTGATATTACCAAGAATAAGAATGACCTCGATGCGGAGAGTTATTATCGTTTGGTGATGATTGTCCGCGGGATTGCTGTTAGTCGTCCACAGAATTTGGTCAAGTTTACCGACTCCCACACTTCAATACAAGATGTTATCTTGGATGATCCCTTGGATGTACAAACACCTAAGTCTAATAAGAATCAGCATTTATTACTGCAGTTGATGGATGTTTTGTGGGTGTTACACTCGTTGAATCCGGAAAATTCAAATCTGGCGCCAGTGGTGGTTCCTGGGTTGAAGCATACCGAACAGGTGGTGTATGCGTTGGTTGAGATTGTCCACGCGTTTAATAGTTGCGACACTTATAGCAATATTACAATTGCAGTGTATCTGCAGTTGTTGCTGTGTGATGATCCTGTGATTGCATTTAGTGCCAAGCACGCGTTGAGCAGAGTGTTGAAACCTAAGAGTAAACGCCGGAGGGTGTTTATTCCTAGTCCACCAAACTGTGTAACACCACCAGCTACAAAGTCTGAAGAAGAAAAACTACCGACTACTTCAAATCAAGAGCAACGGCAAGCCTTGGAAGCTATTCAGATGCTGCAAAGACAACAACAACAAGCGCAAGGTCAAGCTGAAGGTGAGAATCATAATGTTAACCCATTGGAAGCGTTCCTGGGTGGAGGAGGAGTTTTCAACCTTTGTTGGATATGACCCTGGATGCGGATGATGATGACACCATGGTTGAATTGGCCATAGCGTTGAGTTTACAAGAACATGAATTGGGTGATGAGCAAGCCCAACAGCAAGCTTTGCATACTCTTCAGGCCCTCGAAGCGCCTTTAGAACAAGTTGTGCAGGAGGTTCAACATGCTCAGGAAGCTGGGCATTTTAGTGATACTACTGCTTCCGCTGGTGGGTCAGATGATGAAGGTAGTACTGCTGCTACAGATGGTTCTACACTAAGGACATCTCCCGCTGAACAAGGTGGTAGTGGTGCTGGGTCGGAAAGTGGTGGTAGTGGCGTGGAGAGTATTACTGGTGAACAAAACGTTTCTGGACGCAGTTCTACGTATGGTGATAATGCCCAGGAAAGTGCAGCTAATAAACCAGAGGCTACCACGTCACATGCCGGTGCTCAGCAAGAACAAGAACCTGAAGTTGACACAGAACACGAACAAGAGTCAGAGAATAGCAGCAGGTTACATATTCTACGTCTGCAATTGTTGGAACGACTGGTAGAATACCTGCCTAAACTTAGAAATGTTACTGGAGTTAGGGCGATACCTTTCTTCCAAGTCATTCTACAACTCACAAATGACCTCGATGGACATCTAGAAAGAGATAAGGCGTGTCTCAATGCTCTGCTGCATGCGATCGTAGTAGAATTACAGATTACTAAACCCAATTTGGAGAATATTTGCGAAAGGAATAATCAGCGAGAAGTACAACTAGTCATTATGCGATTGTTGAGTGTCCTCATGACAAAATGGAAAGCTTCATCAAATAGTAAACCGGTTCCAGGGGATAATAGTTCCTTTGTTGCTTCAACATCAGCTACGGTTCTCTTAAAGGCGGACTTTATTACTTACTGCCTCAAATTATTACAATCTTTGTTGGATTATTGGAAGGAAACTAAAGCAGATGACGCTAGTAGTTCTATAACTGGTAATCTCCTCAAGGTGCAGCAACATCATTCTCCACCTGATATGTCTCCGATATTCTTAAAACAATTTGTTAAAGGTATGCAATTAATATTTTTTTATCCACAATTTGTTTTTACTTATAATTTTTGTTTCTAGGACATGCTTCAGATATATTCTACATCTATCCACAATTACTTACCGAAATGGCGTTGCGTCTTCCCTATCAAGTACACAAACATTCTGAAATTGTGGAACCTATCAGCGCTGCGTTTGAAACCGCATGGTTTAAATATCTCTGTGAATATATGATGTTTACTCAGGTGACATCGATTCGGAGACTTGTACGTAAATTATTGCTGTTTATTTGTGGCAGTAAGGACAAGTACAGACAGTTGAGGGATATTCACGCTTTGAATGCACATATGAAGGTATGAAAAGCATTTCGTCGACATATGTTTAGAGGAAAAAAAGATTAACATTATTTTATTCTACAGGCTGTAAAGCAATGCTGCATAAAGGGCGGTTTTGATGCCAGTTTGTCCTATCAGCATGCCATGTCACTCCCGTACGATACTCTGGTTGAAATGGTGGAACACTTAAAAGCGTGTCTCGAAATCGCTACTAGTCGTGTTGGAAATTGGCAGAAATTCTGTATTTGTCACAATGATGTCCTGCCATCGTTGTACCAAGTCAGCTGCATACTAGATGAAGGTAAGCGACTTATTTTCAGATCAGTTTTTGTAAAGAAAAGTTTGTTTCTATCAGGTCGTAGTCAATGGGTGGTGTATAGTGTGGTTAAAACTAGAGGCATGAAAAATCAAGGTCTATTTTTTGTTTTATTTAAATTTATTTTCAATTCAATAGTTACAATATATGATTATGTATTAAATAGGCGTGGCTCCGACCATTCTCCAACTGTTGAACTGCGCCATTGTGATGCAGAACACTACCAAGAAGCAAGAGACATCTTCAAAGTCGACTGCGAGGAAAGAGCGCGAGAAATCTGATGATTCTGTGGCTGAAGCGGCTTTCGAGGAAGCTTCATGCATTGCATTGGTCGAACAGATTAATCAACATGTTCCTGCCGAGGTACTTGCACGTTTTATTCGTACATTTATTCTGGAGACCAACAACAGTACTCTGCGTTGGCAAGCGCACAGTTTGGTCTTTTCTTTGTATAAAAACTCCAAATTGAAGCAGAAGAAATCACTTCTGGAGTTATTATGGCAACTGTGGCCTCTTCTACCGACTTATGGCCGCAAAGCAGCGCAGTTTGTTGATTTGCTGGGGTATGTCTCGCTGAAAATGAGCCAGAATCCGGATTCTTCTGTTAAGATTTCCGCGTATGTTGATAAAGCGGTGGATGTCCTGCGTACACAAAACGAATTGTTATCGCATCATCCAAATGCTAATCTGTATGCTCACATGAGTCAATATGTCGAACTGGATGGGTACTACCTCGAGTCAGATCCTTGTTTGGTATGTAACAATCCCGAGGTACCCATGTCTACGATCAAGTTGAGTTCAATCAAAGTCGATTCAAAGTTTACCACAACAACGCAGATTGTAAAGTTATTAAGCTCACATACCATCAGTCGGATTACAATCAGAATCGGGGATTTAAAACGGACCAAAATGGTCCGGACTGTTTACATCTACTACACAAATCGAAGTGTACAGGCAGTGGTTGAACTGAAAAACAAATCAGCGTTGTGGCATCGCGCTAAGAAAGTGAGTCTGCAGTCGGGACAAACTGAGGTGAAGATTGAATTCCCTCTGCCGATTGTCGCGTGCAATTTGATGATTCATTACGCTGACTTTTATGAGAATATCCAAGCGTCTAGTGAGACCCTACAATGTCCCCGATGTAGTGCAGCTGTACCGGCGAATCCAGGCGTGTGTTCAAACTGTGGTGAGAACGTTTTTCAATGTCATAAATGCCGCGCCATTAACTACGATGAAAAAGATCCCTTCTTGTGTCACGCGTGCGGTTTTTGCAAGTATGCAAAGTTTGATTTCACACTGCAGGCGAAGCCTTGCTGTGCGGTGGAACCTATAGAAAACGATGAAGATCGAAAAAAGATGGTGTCGAGTATTAACACACTTCTAGAGAAAGCGGATAGAGTGTACAAACAACTGATGGGAAATAAACCTTCATTGGAGTTGTTGGTTGTGAAGGTGACTGAACAAAAGTCTGAGAAGAGAACTGAGGAACCAACGGTGGTACCTGTGACGGCTGCGTCGGTTGTAGCAGGTGCGATACCCACATCATCGCAGGTTAAAGTCAACAAAACTATACAGATGATTGCGCAGCAGTATTGCAACGAATGTAAGACTTCCTTTGAAGAATTGAGTAAGATTATTCAGAAAGTATTGGTCTCTCGAAAGGAACTGGTTGCGTATGATAGAAAACATAGAGATTCTGAGATGTCACCAACTTTGGGTACTTCCCAAGTGTTGGAGTTACCAGCGAATGCATCATGTGCCATCACACGTTGTTACGGCTGTGCAACAGCTGCCACCGAACATTGTTTGACTTTATTGCGAGCTCTGGCGATTAATACCACGCTCAGACAAGTGTTGTGCACCAAGGGTTTAATTCAGGAACTCTTGGCTAACAATTTACGTAAGGGTAGCGTACAGATACAAGAAGAAGTAAGACAATTACTGTGTATTCTCAGTAAAGAGAATTCCGAGGCCACTGAAGAGCTCTGTAATTTAATAACGGAAAGAGTCACTTTGGGTCTAAGTGGTCAGACTGGTAATTTGGGTGTGAGGCATGAAATTGCTCTCTTGGCGTCACTCCAACAGATCCACGATGATTGTTGGGAGACTCGTTTGCGGTCATTAGTCAGCATCTTCTTGAAAGCATGCGAAGACGCTAAGAGTCCCATGGTCATCGAGGCTATCATCTTACCATGTCTGCAGATATGGCATAGCATCTGTAAACCTAAAACAGCCGATTCTTTCAACACTACTCTGGCTAAGAAGTTAAAAGATAAAATCAACAATAAACAGACTACTGTTGTTCGTAGTGAGTATGAAACTATCCCGATTGATGCATACAAATGGGTGAACAAGGACCCACAGGTGTCTTATGCTGCCTGGAGAGCCAAACAACCAACCAAAAAAGAAAACACTCCGTTACCCACCAATAAAGAAGATGTCAGGAAGTTATATCTTAGTGAAAAGTATGGAAACCGATGGAGGCGGAGAGTGTTAAAACTTTCCGATCCGGAAGACATGGACCTTTGCGATGATTCATGGGTGAAGACTGTTCTGTTTAACCCGTCATCTCGCAGCGCCCGACAAATCACCTGCTTTATTCTAGAACACTGCTGCAGTAATTACACCCGAAAGAAACAAGTTATCAATATGTTGATTAAATACTTGCATGAACTAAGTGTAGCTGGTGAGAATGCCGCGGAGTATATAGATTTGTTCTCCAACTTTTTGGTGCAAGACGCATGGACGCAATATTTGGCGATTAATGGCGTCATGTTGACCATCGCGGATCTCATCACGAAAGAAATCGAACAACTGCATCGCCTGGAAGAGACTACATTAACATCAGATCTTACCCAAGGTTACGCTTTGAATCAACTCACGGAGATATTGATTGCGTTCTTTGATGATGCAGCTATTCGGAGACAATATAAAAGTCGTCTGGTTGGCGCTGTATTAAATGGTTATTTATCTCTGAGAAGATTGGTTGTACAGCGAACTAGATTAATCGATGATTCACAAGAGAGGCTGCTGGATATTCTTGAAGATATCACAACAGGTACAGATGAAGAAACGCGGGCTTTTATGTGTGTCTGCATGGAGACTGTGGAGAAATGCGCATTGAGGGATGTTTTAACTCCAGTATTCATATTTGAGAGATTATGTTCTATTATTTACCCCGAGGAGAATGACATTGGGGAATTTTTCTTGACTTTGGAAAAAGATGCACAACAGGAGGACTTTTTACAAGGTAGAATGTTGGGTAATCCGTATTCGTGCAATGAGGCTGGCTTGGGACCACTTATGCGCGATGTGAAGAACAAGATTTGCCAGGATTGTGAATTGGTTGCGCTGCTTGAGGATGACAACGGAATGGAACTGCTTGTAAACAACAAGATTATGAGTTTAGACTTGCCTGTGAAGGATGTGTATAAAAAAGTCTGGCTAGCTGAAGGTGGTGAGGTGGAATCAATGCGGGTGATTTATAGAATGCGTGGGTTACTCGGCGATGCAACTGAAGAGTTTGTTGAGACACTGAATAATAAATCACAAGCTGCGGTTGATAACGAAGAAGTTTATAAAATGGCGAATGTACTGGCTGAGTGCGGTGGGTTGAAGATTATGGTCAAGAGACTTGGAGCTATTCAAAATGTATGGAGGGCGAAGAGTTTACTGCAGGTTTTATTGAAGTTGTTTAGACTGAGTGTAAAAGTAGTCAAGGTGCAGGAGATTCTCACGCAACCGGAAGTGGGCGCCATGAGTGTCTTCCTTCGTACTCTACAGTTGTGTTTGGAGGGTGAACCCGATGCTAGTCAGGCGGCTGTTACCGAACAACTCCTCGACATTATGGAGACTATCCTCGCGCGTGCAACCAGCAAAACCTTGGAGTCTTTCAATGAGTTTGCACAGACTTTCGGAGGACCTGAATATGTCCAGAGTTTGCTCAGCTGCACGAATCATTCGAGTGTGAGGAACAATCAAGCTGTACTCATGCATCTAACACGCGTGCTTGCTGCGTTGGTGTATGGCTGTGAGGATAAGATGGACTTGCTCCTGAATCACTTCAAACCAATTCTGAATTTCAACAAGTATGATGTTGAACATACGACGGATGACCAACAGAAGTTGGAGATGTTTTGTGTGTTGACTGAGGGAATAGAGAAGAATGCGATTGGGAATACTCTGAAAGATTACATCAATGAACTTGGAGTGGTTGAGGATGCCCTGGAGTATATTACCATGCATGCCCCATGTGTGAAACCCACTCTACTAAGGACTGATAGCGATGAGTTGAAGGAATTCATCTCTAAACCCGCACTGAAGTATATTCTACGGTTTCTCACTGGAATGGCGCATTCCCATGAGAATACACAGGTTGCAGTGTCGCAGGAAGATACCATACCGATTATTCATCGTTTGGAACAGGTTTCTAGCGATGAACATGTTGGATCTCTCGCGGAGAATCTTCTGGAAGCTTTAAGGACCAACCCCCAGGTTGCTACAAAGATTGAAGAGGTGAGGGACTTTACCAGGTCAGAGAAGAAACGTCTTGCTATGGCTATGAGAGAGAAACAACTTGGGCAGCTTGGTATGCGTACTAACGACAAGGGTCAAGTAACAGCAAAATCAACAATCTTACAACAGATGGAAGAACTGGGTGAGGAGACTGGGTTGGTTTGTTGTATATGTCGTGAAGGGTACAAGTATCAACCAACGAAGGTCCTGGCAATCTATACGTTTACTAAAAGATGTAATGTTGAAGAATTTGAAGCCAAACCCCGAAAAACGATTGGGTATAATACTGTAACACATTTTAACATTGTCCACGTTGATTGTCACATGAGTGCGGTGAGATTAGCGCGAGCTAGGGACGAATGGGAGTCTGCTGCGTTACAGAATGCGAATACCAAGTGTAATGGTCTGTTACCACTTTGGGGACCGCATGTGCCAGAATCTGCGTTTGCTAGTTGCCTCGCCAGACACAACACCTACCTGCAGGAGAGTACTAATCTGAGGGATATTGGTCATGCCAGTACTGTGCATGATCTCAAACTCTTGTTGATGAGGTTTGCGCATGAGAAGAGTTTCCATGAGGATACGGGTGGTGGTGGCCCGCAGAGCAACATGCACATGGTGCCGTATTTGATTCATATGGCTCTGTATGTCATTAACACGTAAGTTATTTATTTATTTCTATTTTTTATTTAAAATGGTTAAATAATTTTATTTAATTTTATTTTATAGAACTCGTGTGAGTAAGAAGGAAGAAGGCAACCTCAGCACCTATTTGGAACAGTCCACCATCGAAAAATGGATAGAATCATCTTATGACTCGGATGGACCGTTGTATTGGACCACAATGTCCGTGTTGTTGCACTCGACGGCTAAGTGGAATGGTAATCGACTGTCGCATTTGCATAGACTCTTGGTTGCGGCGCACGTACGCAGCGCGCATCCTTCTGGTCCAGTGAAGAACATCGCCGATAAGAACGCTAAGGATTACGGCGTTTACAAACCTTATCTGGTGTTGTTTGGCATTGTTGATGGTATTTATAGGTACTTCTTTAAGTATGTGTCGGGACCGGATGATCAGTGGTCTAGCAACCTGGCGGATTATATCCGGCATAACGATGAAGTGCTCCTCAAAGGCTCGGAACGTCTGTTGGGTTATTATGTGGACGAGCTGCTTCCGTGCGCATCTTTTGCTGAGTTTTGTGATGTTTGTGGTGAGTTTTGTTGTTTTTGGGGTTGTTGTGAATTTGATTTTATTGTTTTTTTTTTCTGATTGCAGGTCTTTTGGAGCTGATCGACGATCCCGATAGTTACATTTGCAATCTTTTAAAAGGTACATAAATTTACGCGTTGTAGTCTCATTGAACATATTAATTAAGAATTAAATATGCTGTACAATAAAAGTATTTAAAATTGATTCTTTGAAGATAGGTCCTAGAGGGCGCTGCTCTTTTATATCTACGAGTTACCAGTATAAAATGTTGGGGGATGGGTGTAGGGTTTATGTTGATGTGTTTGCGCATTTATACAGAGATCAGCAGGTTGTACTTTGGTGCCTTGTATTCCCCCTCGATTTTCCCGTTCTGTGATTGGCTTATGACTGACTTAATTTGTGACGTAGATTGTGATCCACCAATACCGTGCACTTTGAACATGTTATATATTTCAAAATTGTTAAGATCATAGAAGGCGCAGTAGAAAAAAAAGTTTTGTTTCGCAAACATCATTAGCGTTAATCGAAATTGCAACTTATTCAGCTCTTCCTTCCTTCGCAACCATCCGTGAGTACGCGCACGTATAAAATCCTAACGTCTATCTTCGAGTCGAACAGAGTGCAGTGAAAAATTGTCAAATTTTAAAGGTTATCATCAACGCTCAATTGTTCCCCCCAAAACCTGCTTTCTGCGTGCATAGAATTTCGTGTAACCTGTTGTTCCTCTGTTTACTACTAAAAAACCACTCTGCTGATCACACATTTTTATTAAATAAGACGACGCACTTCTTTGTTGGAACTCTCATAACCTCCAGAGCAAAATGAATTCGTAAGTACACGACTTATTGTTTAGCTATGTGCTTATAAATGTTTAATTCCTATATTTGAATTGATAGTGAAGCATACCAAGAGGGCTATGTTACTTGTCCGTATAATCCTTCGCACCGTCTGCTGAAACATCGCTTTATTACTCACTTGGTAAAATGTCGTCGCAATCATCCGGATTCTCCATCTGCGGTGTGTGCATTCAATTCAAGTCATATTGTTCCTGCACCCGAATTGAAAGTAAGAAGTAAACACTCTGCTAGTATTTCAAATAATTTTATGTTTTATTTGTTAGTATCACATGGACAATTGCCCTGACCGTCATCAAATTGATCGCGTTGTTACCGAAGCTGAAGGCAACACTCATAGAATTGAGATTAACTTTGCAGATGATAGTTCTTGGGACAATGGAGAAAACTGGGATCAAGTATGTTATTTATTTATCAATTTTTTACTCCTCTTTGTAACATTTTAAAATATTTCCAGGAGAATACACCATGTTACAACCCTGCGGAATACTGCGAGAATAAAATGATTCTGCGTCGTTTGGATATTGCTTCGAAAGCACAGCGTCGTGATTGGCACCAGGCTGAACGCCGCCGCTTCCAAGAGATCGATTCGTCTCAACCTGCAGCGACCCAACGAGCCGAGAATATTCGGTCAAAGCCTCAAGTTGCACAAGTGCGGCAACCAAAAGAGGAAATGCCTGCGGTGATTACGTCGCAAATGAGAGCGTTGACCACTTCTGCTCAAACAGACGCCACGCTTACAGCACCTCCGTTGTCGGAGATTTTAACATCTGCTCGTGCTCCAGGTGAACCAAAGTAAGAAAAAATATAGGATTTACATTGCAGAAATCTGTAATTTGTTCATGATATTTTCCAGGAACAACGAAGAAAAGTGGGAACATGTACGAGTGCGTGGACGGGGCCGTGGTGTAAGAAAAAACAAAAATTAACCTTGTTTTGAACCAGATTTTTATTTTTTTAATTGAAATTTTAAGTTACCAATTAATTGATATTTGAGGAGACATAACTTGAATTTTTTATGCATTTTATTCATTGAGAAGGAAATTTACACTTGATAAATTTCATAGAGTATATTTTTATGAATATAGTCATTATATTAATCGAAGAAGACGCTACCACGGAATAAATTATACGTGCCTTATTCTATATAATGTTTATTTGCTTCGTTTTTTCGTGTTGAAAGATGAAGAACCGAGCTTGGCGAAGGTATCGCCAACAACTGCCGTTGTCAAAATCGGTAGAGTGCTTGTTCCGTCTTCTGAGACTTCTCCAAATCTAAAAACGTTTAGTAGAATTTTGTTTACATGTATTCTATTTAATGTTCATTACTTGTCTTCCAGAGTGTGTAGTAATTGAAAGCCTTCTTGAAGAGAAGCGTAGCCTGCTTTGCCTTCGACATTCGGATGCATTTGCACCTCGATGACTTCCTCCTCTTCTTCTTTAATGATACCAACGTATCTAAGTATAGAATAATTAATTAGTGTAGTGAATATTTAGCTTTACTTGTTTAATTACTGGTTGTTCTCATCAATGCTTTCATCTTCTTCTTCTTGCTTCGGCTGTAGCAATTTCTGATAACAATCGACGAGCTCCTGACAACGTTTGTGCAGCACTGTGGTGTACTTCAACACTCTGTTTTGGTAATAATCGTGTATTCCTTGATATCCTAAACCAATTTCTGTTAGAACTCCTTCTGCATAATCCTAAAATCACAATTACTTTGCAAATAGGGATTTGTAACTTTGTGTGGTGGTAAATATTCCTTACTGGGAATTCCTTTCCAGGTTCATGTGTTTCCTTGTGCAAGTCATGTGCAACTTTCATTTTGTAGCTGATTTTCCTAAGAAAATCTTCCAGAACTTCTGTCATCAACAGTAAAACGTCATTGTGTGTGGCTAAAATGCAGGTAATTGTTATTCCTGTTGAGATTTATGATTCGTTGTGTTGTCACTTACTTTCATATCCAATATGAGCAAACATGGTAGCTACAGATTGCATTAAAACAGATTTGGCAACTGCATGACTTAGTTCTGGATGATTTACCGGTTTACCCTCAGTAAAATCTGTTTTAACCTTAGGAATAAAATTCAGATTGTTTGGCACATGTTTGTAGTAGATCTCTGGTGGTTCAGGTATTTTTGGTGTGCCTTCTTCTGATTGTAGAATTGTCAGATTGGAATCAATGGTTAGCTCAGCTAGTTGGATCTGTTCAGTCATCTCTGCAGCAAACTTGTGCAGTGTAATGGCATACATCATTATGGGGTCCATTGAATTTAAACTTAAAATATATACGGATTAAACATTTGGTATTTGATTGTACAATATGATAGAGTTTAATTTATTTACGTTATGTGCTCGACGCGATGGTCATCATCTTCATTGTCTGAGTCAAACTCTGACAAACAGAAATTGTTCATGGAGCGTTCGATGTCGGCCGTAACGTCGGGCACGTAATTTGATTTTGGATCTTCGATTTCTCCCCATAATTTATTAGGTGTACTCATTTTTAAGGAGTATAGAATGTTGAGATGTTATTTACAGATTCAGCTGTTCAGAGGTTATGATCATTTTTAAATTTAAACGTTCAAATGAACGGATGAAAGAATGTTGTAGGTTTGTAATAATAATGTGAAAATATTATATTTCAAGTATTGATATTCTTTATTAAATTATTTTTGTATCATCTTTATGCATTGAATGTCTTATTTTTGTTTGTTTTGTGGGTATAGTACATATAATATAGTTGAACGTGACCTAGTATTTGCATTGCGTGTTTTGAAATTCTTATCACTTTTATACCTGCATTTGCAGCGTTCACGTTGCTTCTTTCTCCTGCTTAGTATGGCTTGCGTAGCTGTGCGGTGTGGTGCGCAAGTGTTCTGTTTGCCAGTCGATCTTCATGGCAAGTTTTCGCGTTTCTTGAGATATTAATTCGGTAGTAATTTGTAACGGTTGGCAATGAACGGTATTTTCTAAGAACAGGTGGTTGTGTCCTTCAGCAAATGGATTGCGGAGTGTGGAACCCAGAATTGTGTGGCTTTATTCACATGTGTCCCGACGGCAACCCCTATAATTAGTAGAAATTTGTTTGTTTCCCATGTGTGGAAAGAGGATTGTCAGCAAAGGCAATAAAGTGAGTAGAATCAATTCTATTTACAATTATCATGTAATGTATCAAATTTGTTTGTCCATGAGGTGGCTGCAATAACTGTTATCTCATTCATGTTGCCTTAGTGTATATAATTTCACTATACTATGTAAAGTCATTTTATTATGTTCTCGCGTGAATTCCGTTGATCGCCGGCCGTCGCATGTCGTCCGTTGGCTACGAATAAGTTATCAATTTGCACCTATTGTCAGGAACAGTGAATACATAGAATACAAAATAATTTATTATCATGTAATAGTCTATATGTATATTACCTATTAATGTATGTGTCTCAATAAAATATTATTTAAAGTAATGTTGCATATAAGAGCATATTTATTTTTGTATCCTCTTTGTCGTTTCCAGAAGTAGTTATAAAAGTTATATGTGGCTGCAGGTGTTTGTATGATGGCTATACAATGTTGTTGTTTTTAAAAATGTGAGAAAAACAACAACATTTATACCAGAAACGAATAAGATTTGATAAGTAAGCGTTCTGGCTCAGGTGGCATGTGCATATGCTAGCATGCACGAGGTTCATGGATCGAATCTCAGTTGTAGAAGGTAATTTTATTAAATAATAAGAAATTTACGAAATGAGGGTTGCATACCACAAAAATTCAAGATTCAAATGTTAGAAATAACTTGAAAAGCAGAGTACGACGAAGCAACAGTAAGAATAAGTAGAAGAGATGGTGGAGGAGTAAGGAAAAAGAGGAGTAAGTAGAGAGAGCAGAAAGAAGAGGATAGGAGAAACAAGAAGAGAAGAGAATAGAGAAGAGAGTACAGGAAGAAAAGAGAAATAGGGGTGACAGAATTTTTAAATTTTTTGGCACGTGTCGTTATAAGACAGTCACAGGTCACAGGCCCACTGCTTCGATGCCTCCATTGCTCCCGGCCCAACCTACAGCTACGATGTCTCTGCGCTTCATCCCCGGAATTATCAGGCATATCAACAATTTTTATGGTGGGGGATCATCCCCAGAGAGAGGGAACTCCTTATAAGGACATCTTTTTAAGAACTTGTAAAAATATTTCTAATTTTTAAGTCGCCTCACGAGAGGGGACACTTAAAAATATTCTTACAAGTTCTGACCTGTAGCTGAAAAGATGGAGTACACAAATCATACAGATACCTTAACAATTTTTATAGTGGGGATCATCCCCCGAGTGGGAGAACTCCTTGAGGACTTGTAAAGATA